TTTAACCCTTTTTGTTTGATTGGGTTTTTTTCTGGGTTTTCCCCATTCTAGTTATAAATGTTGGGCCATTACAGATTTTATTACGAACAGATGTATTATAACGTTTACTTTATTTTTTCTTTCATTTTAAGTTTCAACTTTAATTTCTCCCTTTTAATTTTATATAATTTAATTTACCACTTTGATTTATAACATTAATTTTAAATTTAATTTAAAAGATTTACTTATTGAAACCTTTTTAGTTTCTGTGTAGTTATCCCCTAGACATATTTAAAAGATACCGGATAAGTAGTTTATAGTATTATTAATAGTGATTTGCAGTTTATAATATTTTCTAGAAGAACACTTTTGATTAGAGGCGTAATTAAATTAAAGCTTTGCTTTTTTGTATCTAACTCTCAGAAACCATGTTATCAAGCTGTTACGAGACAATTTGCGATTATTGAGCCCCGATGCATTGTTGTTATATTATATTATATTAGTAGTGGCTTATTAGCTTCAATAGTCACAGCTAACGAGAAGTTTCACTGCCGATAGAGTGCAGACTAATGACTATACATTACATACATGTACATACATTTATTAATACAAATATAATTATAATCATAATAATCTTATATACATTTTCTGACTACCATTCATAACTAACATGAAGCCATATTGATTTATTTATTATTTAAGGCACGCCGATGTAATCTTCCGCCTTTGCAACCCAGACCAAATCTATTGATATTGAAATATTATTACATATAATTTCGTATGTTTTAAACAGATTGTATATTTATAACGTTCCGGCATCAGTATTCTACAATTTTGTATGTAAAAAGAATTTAAAAAAAAAATACGCTGTCACTTAAAACTCATCATCATCTCGGCTAGCGATGCTAATCATAAATATATAAAATTTATGGAGACGTCTCCTACGGTTCATTGTAAACTTGAAATCAAACAAAAAACTTGAAAATAAATATAATATTTGAAAGTAAATATTCCTTTTCAAAAGGCAATAATACACATTCTATATTCGGTATCGTAATACATAAGTTATATGTTAAGGATATGTTGAAGATAAGTATTCTGGCAACCCCATTATGCATTTTAAGAAAAAACTTACCAAGAGAATAAACCAAAACCAATTTTGGGCATAAATAACATTGCTGTTCTACTTAAAACAACACCAATCAATTGGTGCTTTAGAAAATGAAGGAATTAAATAGGTTATGCACGAATTTCATGCAACTGAATCCATAATTCATAAATAACAATTAATTAAATGGTAAATCTGTTGCCTTAACTAAGAAACAAACAAAAACGCGGTATTCAACAAAAACAGAATATCTAAAATTGTAGTTAGGCATTTAAATTTAGAAGCTGCGTATCTGGCTATCTCAATTGAGATAAGTTTATGTATCTAGATACCTAGAGATACATAGTCCATTCCAGACTCTCTCAAGATAAGTCTGATATTCTTTTCGGTATCGCGAGTTTATCTCAGTTACGGAAAAGATGAGCACAAACAATATCCGTATATCTGCTTGTGTATCTGTGCATATAAATAATTGCTTAACTTTAATTAGCAAAGTCTATGGCAAGCAGTTTTAAATTAAAAAAATATATATTTACATTTATATATATAAATACAACGACAAACAGAAAATTAAACGACATTATTATATTTATAATGTTTATTTTATAATAATTCATTGTTAGATCTCTGATTTTCTCAGCAACAGAGTTCTTTTGAGGCCAGCGAAATTCGTTTTAAATTTTGTCTTGGGGGCAAATGACATCATTTGGAGTCAGGCGGCAACTCGAACATGGCTCTATCTCTGACTCTCTGTATTGGTATCTGTATCTGTATCTGTATCTGTATCTGTATCTGTATCTGTATCTGTATCTGTATCTGAATTGCTATCTGCTTTTGTCAAGATCGCCGGGCGTAAAACAACAAACAAACAAACTAACGAAAAAATGCATATGTTTTGTATATATGCATGAAATCGGTGAGCGATATTCTTAATGTCAATGCCAAGGGGACAAAAATCGGCATCTCAGCTTAATCATGCGAATCAACAATGAGTCATTACCGACATTTCCTACAATGAATCAGTCTTTTCTTATTCTTATCTCCCAAGGGTCAGGTTTAATGCAAATTATCGCTTATCTATATAGCATGCAACATGACTTGCATGACTTGGCACTAAACTCAGACATGGCCACAAATACAATATCGTTTCAGTTTGTTAATTGTTGGCCCATAAAAGATAGGATATACAAACAATTACTTCTTCTTAACTCACTTCTGGCGAAACGACAATAATATTTGTCCAGCTTGCAACATATCATATTCAATGCAGATGAAACAACATCAGCCTTTTCCAGTGAAAAATCTGGAACGTAAACATCGCTACCCAGAAATCACAATAGTAAAATTTCATAGCTCTAGCTTGAAAATCTCAAATGTTTACTACGCTGTCAAAAAGCTCCTATTACAAATGAAAAACCATCGGAATTTACATTTAATATTTAAATTGAAATGTGCGCAGCTGTTATTTTTTTTTAATTTTCTGAAACTATTATTGTGTGACAGATGTTGGTGTGAAATAGAAAAGATTTACTGTACATGTACATATGTATGTATGTATATGTAACTTCAAAGTGCATTTAGCGCCATCTGCTGGCAGCGATCGTGATAATCATGATCATGATGATCTATATACGTAATTATTAAATAGTAAAAGCTTACCTGCCAGCCACAAAAGGCACGGTGAGAAAATCTGTGCGCTGCTTATTGTTTTGTTCTAGCTGAACTTCGCTGAGCTGAGCTTTAAGCGCCGACGCAGACGCAGACGCTATGCTTGTCGACGCCGGCTTCACAGCTTGGCTTTGGCTTTGGCTGGTTGTTATTGTTATTGCGATTGTGATTGTTGTTATTATTGTATTTGCATCTGTTGCATGCGCTTGCTGGGACTTCTAGATGTAATTATTGTTTCTGGTTCGCTCTTATTGCTCAGCAGTTGTCCGGTGGTCCTTGTGCACATATTGTTGTTTGATTATAAGATAATTTGGCAAAACTGTTATTGGTTCGTCAGTTGTAACGTTTTCTCGCGCTAAAGCTGTGGTCGCTAAATATAACAAATTCTAGGCTCACATTTATTGACAAGTGTAAAAAAAAAACACAAATAAAAGCACAGCACAATAAAAATAAGATAAACTCAATACACACAATGACAACCAACAAACATCTTATATTATTATTTGATTTCTTTGGTCTTGTTTCTAGTTACATTTAATCGTTATGAGTGGAACAACATTGCATTCAGATGCCGAAAAAAAATATACAACCGCGCAAGTCAAAACCTCGATTACAACTGAAGCGACGGAATGTCGCCGTCACAGACGCCAACTAGAAAATCCAAGTGGAGAGCGCGCCAAAATCGAAGTGAACAGAGTTGCCATCCATTAAAATACGAGAAATGTTTCGGAATGTTTGTTGTTGTGTTCATTTGGCCGCTGGTATTGTCTGATTGGTTGGCATTGACGTTCGCAGTGCCAGCCAGTGCCTCTCTAGGATTATGTGTCCACTCAGTGTAATCCATTAAATGGTCACATCTACTCGGCATGGCCGTTAGACCTTCAAAAATCTCAAAGTCCTTGACAACTGTTGTTGTTTTTTTTTTGTTAGTTGCACCCATGGGAGCTCTGTCAGATGGCTTGCAGCTCTATGCAAATGGAGGACACAGCAGAAGTTTATACTATTTAAATAAATCGTGAGCTTGCAAATCGTGGACAATTATACTAAAAGTCACTCAGATTGCGTAACGTGAAAAAAAAAAAATAATAAATAAATAAGAAAGAAAAAGGTGTCAGCACCTGTCGTAAGCGCATGCAGCAATTTAACTTGACATTAGCCTGAATTGGAAACACATTGCATGGCAAATTGATATTAATTTATGATCGGTATGCACTTTTTGCTAGCAAGCTGTGGGCGAGAGTTACTCGATTCCACATGCCAGGCAATTTAAATTCGCGCACTTTGAACCTATTCAAGCATTCAGAGATGATAACCGGACAACTAACCGGTTAACCTTGAAACGGTCATCGTCCACTGTCATTATCTAAGCGACTGATATTTGGGAGCGTTTTAAGCTAATTGCAAAACTATAGAGTAAGTATTAAGCACGCCCTGATTAATTGACGACCAAATCGTCGTTAAACGCCAAGCGAAGCAAACAAACAGCGCGCTCACAGGATGTGGCAGACAGACAGACGTACATTTCGTAATTGGCATCGGTTTTCAGGGCCACAAGTATGGCACGCCCTTCAATTAAGACTAAAACAAATATCAGATGAAGCCACAGCGCCACATTAAGGGTGCAGCATTTTCTGAAAATTGCGCCTGCAAATGTTCATTACTGAGATGATTGATGATGACTGATGCAATGTTTAGATCAGACTGTCAAACCGAATCGAATTTTTGTTCCAATTTCGATACTGGTGCGAAAAACAAAAAAGGCCCAATACTTGTTCCAACTTTTTTACGGTATCCGCTTACGCATTCGTACCTTGCTTTTTACGTTACGGTACAAAAGCTTGAAAAAATCATAGCATAAAATAACGGTGCAATTAATATCTGTTCCGCTATTTGCGTTTTAAAAAATGTAACATTTGGGTTCTGATCCCCATTTAATTTCTGAATTTCAATCGGTTAAGATTGAAGTACACATTTTTCTTGATTCAATTAAAATAACGATTAAGAAAAATGTTCTCTCACAATTTACTATTTCGATTTCGATGCTCTTGCCGCACTCAAGTAGTTTGGTGCTGGTTTACCGATAGCCACATTAAAAATATATCGAACTCATTATCTAGAACCGTCGAACAGCTGTTCACAAAATCCACACACGTTAACAGTAAATTAACATTGCAGCTCTTTATTATCGATAAGTTGTTCGTCGATCCTTATTGCACAGTTGGCAGCACTGCCCCTCTAGCACGATAGGCCGATAAGTTGTTGCGGGCAGCACATGTTTGTGATTCAAATTGTGGCAATCACAAATCACACAAAATGGGTGGACATCACAAAAAGAATTTGCGTGCCGAGAAAGCGAAAGTGAAATTGAAAGGCGCCAAGCTGCCCAAAGGTCTCAATGTGACCAAAACGGACTTTAAGGTCCGCAAAATTGAGATACGCGAACAGCTCAAGGAGTATTCGCAGCCAGCCAGCCAGTTTAACGGCAGCCAGCGGCAGCTGAATCTCAAAGAGATTCTCGCCCGCCTCAAGCATCACAATCTCAAGTTTCGCAGCGATGCCCTGCGCAATGTGCGCGACGCTGTCAAGGGCGGCCAGGCCGACCATCTTGTTGGTCATTTGAATGATCTGCTTCAGGGCATTGCCGCCGGCGCATTGGACATGGAACGCGATGTGCGTGTTGAATCATTCAAGACGCTCGATGTGCTGCTCGAAGCACTGCCATCGACGGCAATTGTGCCATTCTTTCACATCATTGCCGCCTATTTGCGCTGTGCAATGACCCACGTGCAGCCGGCCATACAGGAGGATTCGCTCCAGCTGCTCGACGTTCTGCTGCTCCGTGTGCCCGCCCGTCTGCTGGCGGAGCGCAGTGCCAGCACCATAATTGGCAACTTTATCGATATGATATCTCGCACACGGCATGACACGCAGCGCACAAATCGGCTGCTCACAGTTCGCGTGGTGAGTGCCGGATCGGGTCAGTTGACAACGATTAAATGGCGCACCAAGGTCCTGTTGCGACTCCATCAAATCCTTGGCACACTGCTGCAGCAGCAGCAACAGCAGCTGCCGAGGAGCGATGCACGCCAGCCGCCGGCGCGTATCGTTCACTTTGATGCAAAGCGGCCACAATATTACAATGTGCTGCGTCCCCAGTTGGAGGACAAACGGGATCTGTATGCCATTGTGGGTGAGAGTGCGCGCAGAGACGAAAATGAGCAGTTGCGCGGCTATGTGGAGCAGCTGATGCCACTGCTCCATGACAATTGGATCGAGGTGCGACCACAACAGCAGCAGCAAAAAAAACACCAGCAGCAGCAACAGCAGCAGCTCCTCAGTGCGGATGCGGCGGCCAGTCTGCACGTCCTGTTGGATATTGTGGCGCAACTGTGCCAGCTGGTGCAACAGTACGAGACAATGCAACAGGATGCGACACACGAGCTGAGCATGTGGATGCGTTCTAATTATGCCAACAGCTTTGTGCGCGTCTTCCTCAAGGAATGCAACTATCCCTATCAGCAGATACCATCTATCAGCGAGACGTCAACAACCCACACGAAGAAGAAGACCAAGGCCAAGGGCAAAAGGGAGCTGGCAACGGGAGGGGAAATGTGCATTGCCCAGAATTTGACGCTGGTGCAGCTCGTCTGCTATTTCTGGCCGCAGCCGGTTGGCGAGCAGGCGAGTGATGATTACGGCTGCTTGTTACAGTATATGAATCAATGCCTGCACCGCCTGAGCCAATTGTCGGTCGATGAGCAACTGCGTCTGGTGGTCGCATTGCGTGCCCTGCTCCTCGATAATGGTTTGGCGCTGCTGCAGCTGCGCTCCCATCAAATGGGCTCGGTGATGCAGCACTGTATCGAGAAGTATGTGGCCCAGGAGTATACGACACGTGAGGGTGTTGCGACCCGTATGCTGAATCTGTTGTGCCAGCTGGTTCAGCGCAGCGAACTCTATCATGGCTATGGCGGCAAGGAACAGTTTGCCACACTCCTCGACTATCTGCCCCAGCTGCTGCTCAAGCCAAGCGTCGCTGATGTCACCCTGACGGCGATGTCAACACTTTGCCGCCAGCAGAATGTCGTCTTTATGACGGCCCTGGCGGACAGTGTCAACGAGGTGCTCGCCAATGTCGAGCAGCTTCAGGTGACGGGTGACTCGGGCACAGATGAGAGCCGCTTCGAGCATCAGAAGCGCATCCTAAATCTATTCTACTATGCTCGCCGCTGTGGCGATCCGCACAAATTGCAATCAGCATTGCACCTACTGGAGCAGAATACATCCGAGCGAGTTTCCAGCTACTTTAAGTGCATGCTCAGCTACGATTAGGTCTGAATTCACACGATATCCATATACAATATAGAATAACCCCAAACAAGAAAACAAGTAGGAAGCAGTGCTTTAGTCGGATGAGCACGACTATGATATACCCTGAACCCAGTTCTAGTCGTATTACCAAGTTTCCCTTTAAATCTTTTGCACACTCAAATGTAAGCAGGCCAGGAAGCACTCTCATTTCCCATGGTCAACACAGGCATTGGGGATATTTTTTATCCGATCTTGATGAATTTGATTTGGGCAGTTGAAAATATATTAAGAAGATATTAACCTTATGGCGTCCATTATAGTCTTTTTACCCATTTTCAATGGGCTCAGAAGGGTGTAATAATGTACAATAATTATGGAATAAAAACAAAGATAAAATATAGTTCAATTACACAATAAAATAGATTATTAATATACTATAAATTGTTTAGCTTTGGTTTAAGTTAATGTAGGGACGCTGTGTTCCTTCCCGATTCCCCATTTTCGTTGAGAATTCAAAAATAAGGAAGTAAAAATGATTAAATTGTATTTTAATACAAAACACAAAAATCTTAATCGTAAATCGTAAAATAAAGAATAAGGAAAAAAAAGCTAACCAACAATAATGACTGGAAAATATAAATATTTAACCAAAGTATTTCTTTAAATATAAAGCGATATGTAAGTTAACAAAAACTTTTCTTTTTTCTTATATTACCTCGTTTCGGGTTCAAATTGTTAAGATTTTATTGTATTTAGAGTGTTACTTGGACACATATGAAATAACACCCTGGAATTTATACATATTTTTGTTTTAAATTTTAGAAAAATTTACAAGCCGATTTGATTTTTAGAAATATACTTTCTGAATAATAAGGCGAGTTACCCTTGACGGCATTCTAAACTGCAGGTCGACATTTGTTTGCTGATTATATAGCATAACATACTTATGCTAAATATGATTCGACTTCAATTTTGAATTCCTTAGTTATATTTGAAAAGCCTTAGTATTAAGATATGAAACTAAACAAAATTGATAATATTTATATTTATAAAGAGCAACAACCAGCAAATGGTGTATTCATTTCCTGGACTTCTGTTGGTTCTGTTGCTTGGGCTTAAACCGATCCAAGACGGAGCGAACAGGTCTCTCCTTTTTGACCTTGGGCTGCTGACCAGCATCGCCATCGTTCTTGAGCTTGTGATCTGCAATAACGCCCTTCTTCGCTTTGCGCACCTCCGCAATGAAGTCCTACAGTATCAGAATAAAAATTATTATTAGAGATGATTCGGCTTGGGATCGTATTTAAATATGTACGACGATTTACCTTGCGCTGCATATCTTTCACAATTTGCTTATTGCGTGCCGCCTTAGCGGTGCCGCCACGCCCCTTCATTTTGTGACGCGGATTAATGTTGATGCGTGGCGGCTTCAAGTGGAACAGCTGCCGCTTGGCATCGATCTTCTCCTGGAGCGTGGGCGCATCCACACCAGTTATCTCATGCGGATCCAGGGTGATCAGTTCGGGCGGTATCTTTTCCAACAGGGCGTGCACCTCGTGCTCACGTCTCTGCTTTGACGTCTCATAAGGATTATCCTCGAGGGCATCATAATTGGGCTCACCGGCACCGGGCACCAGCAGCGAATGGAAACCATTCGCCGTTGAGACGCCCAGCACATCCTCATAGGGACAGAAGCGCAACCCATGGACAGAGGCATCGCAACGCTGACGCAGATAGGGCAACTTATCCCTTAGGCCAGTGCCGCCGCCCTCCAACACATCTGTATACGTTTCCAGATAGGTTCCCTGCGACAGGGCCAACATGCCCCGTTGCGATACATCCAGCTCGTTGGCGGGCAAACGTAGACGGAATGTGGCCAATGGTGTATCGTTCAGATTTCGTATATCCCACACCTTGACCATGCGATCCAGGCCAGCGGTGACCAGATGCATACCCTTTGGATCCACGGTGAGCGCTGTCATTGCCGTCGAATGGCAGAGGATCGTGGCCAGTGGCTCACGCACTTTGGGTGACCACATGGAGACGACACCCTTGCCGCCACCGATGCACAGTACACCATTGCTGGGATTGTGACGCATATGCCGTATATCACCCAATCCCGTACTGAAATTGCCAACGAGCTCACCAATTGACACATCCAGCCACGATGCATAGCCAGCTGAATTGGCAGCAGCGAGCAAAAAATGATATGGCAAAAAGTCCAAGCGATTGACACGGGTCAGCCGCTTGACGCAATGCAGCTCGGTGCCCTTTTTGTCATAGAAATAGACCCATTCCTTCTGAGCCACTGCATACATGGTGGGCACATGCAGCCACTGGACATCGGCAACGGTCTCCATCACATTGAATTCACAGTGCAGTTTCTTGGTGACCCAATCGAAAGCGGCGACATGACCACGCCGACCGCCCAACAATAAATGCCGTCCGTTCTTTGTATATCGCATCGTGTATGGCCCAAAATCCAGTTTGAGTGCAAAATGCTTTGCGGCCGATTGCAGATCAACATTTGCGGCAATCTCCTCCTGACGATAACCGGCTGTTGTCTCCTCCGCATCGGCCTCCAGCTGACCGGCTGTCTCTTGGAGCAGTAGCTCTGTGCGTGCCGCCTGCTCAGTAGCATACTCCAAATAGATCTCTTTGCGCTGTTGCTGCTCCTTGAAGTGGCGCGTTTTGATGCCGCGCGAATCGACGGCATCGCCACGTGAATATTTGTCCATCAGTTCCTTGGATATCTTTGGCACTTTCGGCTTATCATCTTGGCTGCCTGTTGGCTTCTTTTTGTCAAATTTCTGCTTCTTGTAGTGCGACTGCATCTTGAGGAAGTCGCCTTTGAAATTTTGTTGATTCCGGCGTTTCAGTTTAATGGGATTCGCGATGTCATCTTCGGATTTGCCGGCTGCCACATCAAAGTAACGTGCTGGCGGCTTCTTGCGCCCCTTTGGCGCTGTCTTTGTCATCTCGAATTATATGTTAATCAAGAACAGCCAAAAAAAAAACGCACACTCAATTTCAAAGTGCGCCGCACACAACACAACACAACAGAACACAACGTGCTCGTGCTGTCGATTGCAGCTGTTCAATGCTATCGTTATCGGTCTACCGGAATGGTAATATTTAGTGTGTGAACTGCCAACCTGTTCGAAGTGCATGCACCAAATCGATATCCAAGTAAACTCGATAGATTTTAAATTTAAATTTAATTACAATTTCATTGTTAAGTACATTAAAAAAAATACATTTGTATATATGTAAGATAAAATAAATTTATGTCTCCAATTAATACTAAAAAAAAGTATGCAATGAAAGCGCATCAAAATGCGTCTTGGACGATAAGACGCTTTCAAGACGCTTTCAACTAAATGTAAAAGTGCAGTTAAAAATTATTTTGGTATTTTCGTTGAGCATTCGTTAAACGAATAATATGAATGTTTTGAGATTGAAGCCACATCAGTCTATATAGAATTGTTGTACGAAAAAAACATGCCCAAAAACATGAAAACTAAATCGATAGATTAGAATTAGATTTAAATGTTAATAGACACGTCCATAAGGCAATGTGGTCGGATAGTAGGGCAACGGCATCAAAAACTTGCCACCGAAACGTGGCGCAGATTGCGCCGATTCACTGCTAGATGAAAACATTGATGTACATATTTCGGCACGATGCAACCGACTGCTGCTATTCGATGTGCTGGTGGCGGTGCCAGCCAATCCCAATCCCAATCTCAATCCAGTACAGCGCCCATGCTGGCGACGACGTGTTCGAATCAGCGAAAAGATGGCCACAATCACAGCAATCAGAAAGATCGAACCCAATATGCAGAAAGATATAGCCAACTTCGAGATGGACAGACACAGTGTGCCCTCGCCGGCCAATGGCCGGATATTCGGACCGTAATCATCGACTGAAATAAAAGATATATATATATAAAGCAAGTAGCGATCTTAACAAAATGTTCTCAGCCAATCAAAAGAAAATTTAGTCTTGAGTTTTCATATAGATTCTTAAAAATTTGCTTCAGCCCGCTCTAATGAAATCAGTAAAAAAAAGGCTCAAAAAGCTGGTAAAAATTATTACGAAGACAAGAAAAAAAATGGCTTGTGCAAGTCGTAAAAAAACCGTTAAAGCTTCTGAGAACTTTTAAAGCTTTTGCATGTTCTTTGTTGGTAATTGCCAAAATATATATTCAAATGATGTAAAAGCTTTGCCTGATATGCGCAATATGATTGGTGTCTCGAGAAAAAGGAAATTGAAGTCTTTTTATGAATACAAACAATTGCAATTCAGTGTATGAATCGGAATTAAATCCTAAAATCAAAATTTACTTAAAACCCAATTAGCGAAACACTGATGTCGGGGTATTCCGCAGACAGTTACGCTCGACTGGAACGATCTCACATAATATTTTGAGTTTTTGTATTGTACCAATACGATACGTAGGTATCGCTAATGTACCGTTAAATTTCGAGTATACCGTAAAAAAAAACTGTTAGAAAACTGCACGAACTTTTAAATAGCAGAATCGGAATCGAAACCCAAATTCGTTTCGATTTCGATATATATATATATATGGACATACATACCACTACTCATGTTATAGCGGCGATCGTAGCGCAGACGATCCACTTCGATTTGTGGCGCTGTCACGGCCAGTGAGTTGAACACCTCGATGCGCGCCAGGTGCTGATCGGCGTTCAGCTGCAGTTGCTGCTCGGCGAGGCGACAATTTAGCTGCAAGTTAAAGATTTCGTTAGTTGACACGGCCAGCCATATGCACATACATATGTATATATGTACATACACTCAAGAAATCAAATCGGACTAAAATAATAATCGCTTTGAATATTAGAAAGTTTTTCTTGTTTTTTAAAAATGATTTTCTAAATATAAGAGAACATTTTTCGAAAAATTACAAGGGCTCTAGACCGACAATCCGAAATAAATGGTTTTTTTTTTCTTATTTATTAGAAATATTTTTTATTATAAGGAATTGCATTTCCAAAAAGTAGAAATATAAACAGGGATTTTTTTCTGAAAAGTCGTATTGTACATATAAACTATCTAATTTATCGAATTTATAAAATATCTGAAATGCTTGTCTATATGAAAATCTTAAAATACTAGTGTGTAATAATAAAATAAGTAGCAAGAAAGCTAAGTTTGATATTGTACATTTTTATTAATTTTCGAAAAATATACCTTGAATTTACGAAAGGAAAAACACAGGTTTTTAGATATATACTTTCCGAATAATCAATTGTGTTAGCCTTGGCGCCAATACTATGCGATTTTTTTCTGAGTGTATATAAGTACACACATGTGTAGGAGAAACATATACGTATTTATTTGAGCACATCGCAGCACTTGGGCAATTGTTGCAAGTGCTTTTGGGCTGCAGTTCAGTGCATTTTAGTGCAATAACCACATTAATTAGCGGCGCCTTCCACACACACACACATATATATATTTATACATATATACGCTTCGCTGCACTCATGAAGAAAAAGCAAGCAACACTTTCGTTTTCATTGCAATTAATTAATATACAGCAGAGCTCAAATGTGGCCTGCTACTTGGCCAATTTTGCATAAACATATATGTATATATATATATATATTTATATATGTACATTTAGTGTTACTCACATTGGGGCACTTCCCTTTGCAGAGCTGAACGCCACAGCTGACGTGCAGGCGCTCGCGATCGGGAAATTTGAAGGCGGGAAATGTGGCCATAAACGTTCGCTCGACCAGATCTTCCTCATGCTGTTTCGACCAGCCCTCCTCGGCCGGCTTAAATCTGGTATGCAGCGCCGGCATCACCTGGGAAACGGATAAAATAACATCATAATAATAATATTACAAGTTTTGTTAGCTTTATTTTCAAGTAATAACACAAATATACATACACATTACATGTATATAATATGTGAGAGACAGAGGGAGAGAGAGAGGGAGATGCAGAAAGCGAGGGCTGTTAACACTGTCAGCTGCAGTTCAAGGGCACTTAACATAGTGTGCAAATGTAAATGTAAATACAATTCAATCAATTAACATTACGCTATTTACATTATGCAGCACTGGGCGCGAAATTTAAATGAATGGTTTGTTGCTGCTGCTGCCAAAAATTCTATTTGTATATTTGTATGTATGTATGTATATGTGGATGACACCTACACTGGAATAAAATATATATTCGAACTCCATAAAAATTGTTAGAAATGGTATAAGGGTTTTGTACAAAAATTTGTAACAGGCTGAAGAAAGCATCTCTCACCCAATGATTTATATGTATTCCTCATCTGGATCAACAGTTCACCTGCTCGTCTGTATAAGCACGCGGATCTCAAAGACTCGCAACAAGAGGGTTTGTTGTGAAGTGGGTAGTGCTTTAAATTAAACGACTACTAGTCTATTAAGTGAATATATACCCACTTGTCGAGTCGATATATAGTCATGTCCATTTGTCTGCTTCAAAAGTCTTTCTTATTAATGCATATTTTACAAATTAATGTGAGACATCAGGAAGATATCCGAAACAAATTGACTATATATATTAATGATAAGATGATCCTAGAATGTTGTCCAAAAAAACATGATCAACATGATCTGCCAGAGTATCTAGGCTTTGGCGTTCTTTCATTATGTTTTAGATAATTTGCCGAAATTGAAAGTGGCATCTAAGGAAACATTAGAAACGAGCGGCTAGTTTGGGGTAATTGTCCGCGAAGTGAACCAGTTTTTTGTTCTTTTTGACCCCTTGTTTTTATTTGTATGTTTTTCTTACCCCTGTGAGTTTATTTTTATACATACGTGCTAGAAATATCAGCTCTTTTTATGACTGGTTATACAATTTTTGGTTAATTGTTGCTGGCTGACGACATCACACAACACACCATTAACAGTGGCAGTGGCAGTGACAATGACAGTGACAGTGGCACCCCACACACTCTTCACAAACAAACACACACACACACGTGCATTATTTGGCCACTTCCGTTACAAGCAGAGCAGAGCAACGGTAACAAAAGTCATCAGCCAAGTTCACGGACAACAACAACAACAACTCTTAGTTAAGACATATGCATGTGTGTGTGTATTATTAAATGTATGAAATTTCAGAGCCATGTGATTTACGTCTTGCCATTGTTGTTGAATGCAACTTGTGCTCTTGCCAGCATACATGCATAAATAAAATATGTCTGTATGCATGTAGGTATCACATATGGCAGATGTTGATTTGATGTCGCTACCTGGTTTCAATTAACATGGCCCTTCAGCACGTGTTTTGCAGCGTGCCTCGTGAGAAACTTGAAACAATTACAACAAATGAATGTAAGCAAACAAATTTGCTGCGGAAGTTCAAATGAGTTCAAATATCGTACACATTTTACTACAGGAGACATCACTCATTATTTATATATTAATTATTAATTGTTGTATTTTACACCATCTCTCTGCCTCTGTCTCTGTCACTCTCTCTCTCTCTCTTTTTATTTGCCTGTTCTCATCTTAAGTGGGAATTTATGAGTGTTTTCTAGCACAGTTGCATTAACAGAAATAACAGACAAACAGATACAATTCTATGTATTTATGTGGGTCATATTCTGATTAGAAATTGTTACGCAGCAGCAGCAGCAGCAGTAGCAGCAGAATTTTTCACTTTTCAGCACTGAACGCTCGCTGACCTAGAAGCTTTTTTGAGTCAAATAAATAATCCAAGTTGGCGATGGGCGCGTGCATAAATTATTTGCAAGCAACAATAAAACTAAACGCAAAAGAAACTGAAATGTGCTGAAACGGAAGGCAATGGCAGCACCACAAAGGGGACGCAGGGTGAGGGGTGGAGAGGGGGTGGCTGGAGCTGATGGGTTGACGAACAATAAAACAAACATAAAATGCAAATGTTTTGTTGTCTTTGCGCCGGTGTCCGTTAAAATAAAAATAAAAATTAAGCCGTGAGATTTTTCTTGCTAGCGTACCCCACAATGGCCAATAGCAAACAACAACAGCAACAACAACAACAGAAGCAACTGAAGATTTGTTTGACCCATTTTCTTGCATGACATGTGCACAAAGCTGCGACGGAGATGGCAACGACTAAATGCAAATGATTTTTTTTTTTTTTTTAGCTTGGCATTGCCATTGCCGGTGTTGCTAGTCTTGTTTTTGTTGATGTTGTTGCTGTGGTTGCTGCTGGAACCATGTCAAAATGTTAAACGCTAAATATGTCTATGTATTTCACTGTTGGCTAATTGTTGTGACCTCCTAATTTACTCAAGAAGAACTGAAGAACTGTTGGTGGGCAGTCGCAGGAGCAGTTGCTTTTAATGGCTGCTAAGCTGCTTGGCTGGGCAGCGCCAGCAAACACCGACAACAAAACGCAAGCGCAAACGTAAACTGTTCTAACGATGCGCGCGTAATTACGTCTAACAGTTTTGAGTTTTGACTCACTGACGCCGCTGTTATTGCTGACGTCAATTCTGAGTGTTGTAATAACCGTTATAATTAATGATGCGTTAGCGCTTTAGGCATTGCACAACACCAATTACAACAAGAACAGGTGCAGGACTAGCGTTGCCAACTTCTTTAGAAATATTGCACATGCGAGTGAGCGAGACGCAAGCTGTGCTCAGTTTGGCATGCTTTTACTTTCACAGCAGCTTTAATAAAAATGAAAGTCTGATGGCAAACAAAAAAAAAAACAAAAAACAAAGATTCATCGATAAATACCATAAAATTATGATTAATTATTGATATGGTGGGTATATGGTGGATGCCTTAACGGTAAACGATCGCTGACAAGTTATGCAAAATTGATGGAACTTGACTAATTGACTCACCTGCTCGTCAATGGGACAGCCGCGAGCGTCGAGCAGCTGCTGCGTCGACTCGCCCAAGCCATCGAGTGCCGCACAGTCGACGACGCGCACACCAATCGTTCCAGGCACAATGGCGCGCACCGTTAATGTGGTCGCCACGCCCACCTCCACAGATCCAGAGCCATTGGGGCCACCCAATTCCAGCCAAATGCGAACACGCGGCGTATCCATCCTTTGACCCGACCCAGATGCCGTTCCAGATGCGGATGCCGATGCGGATGCGGATGCTGAGGCAACGACAGCCAAGGCTCGCATTCGTGCATTCCTGCAGGAGATTTACGAGTAGCTTTAGCATTTCTTTCACTTCTCGCAATATTCTTCTCTTTTTTTTGTGGATCTAATGAAGTTTTCTGTTTCTAAAGTGTATATAATTTTCAATTGAACTGAAAACAAATTGCATTTGCAACAGTTTCTTGTTAATCTAATGGAGTTTTCTGTTTCTAGAGTGTATGTTTAATATCTTCAATTAAAAAATGAAAATAAATATGTATAGACCTCAATTAGGAGCTTTTTGGTTTCTAGAGTGTATAATCTTCAATTTAACTGAATAGTGGTTTAAGTATTTGTGTCACTTTCAACTGTTTCTTGTTGGTCTAATGGATAATAATAATAATAACTAGATAAGTCTGATAACGTACCGATCTCGTCCATTTAGGGGTAGTGGCATTCCCATCGCCTTGGCGGGCAGTTGACAGCGCACCGTGCGCAAAATATCGGTGCTCTGGCGCAGTTTCTGTTCCATCTGGAGCATGATGCGAACGGTGTATTCCATGCCGCCATCTGGTAGCGGCTCGGCGCGGACACCGCAGCCCGAGGTGGGCACACGCAGCGCGATCTGTGCGTCATCATCAGCGTGTCCACGTGCCCGACACTCCAGCGGAAAGTCTTTGGCATAGAGTAATCCCCGGAATGTGCGACTCAATGTTAACTGCATGTCGAGCAGGTCACGCGTGCAATTCACCTGTAATCTCTCGATTTGCATCGTACTCTCGCCGCCAGCAGCAGCAGATGATGATGATGATGATGATGATGGTGATGATGATGATGATGGTGTACCCAATGCAGCCGATGCAGATGCGACTGTTACTAGGAATACGCCCAGGCCGAATGCCGTTCTGGTTGCCCAACCAGCATGACACACAAATTGCGGCAGCAACAGTTGTCGATGCATCTGCAAGAACATGTTTCCGATTTTCCAATTTCCCGTTTCCCTAGCAACACTGGCAAACTGGCAACCGCAAAATGATGCCACTTGGTCGCGTTGCCGTTTGCCAACACCTGCTGCGCTATCTTTGTTGCAGTTGTTGTTGCACTTGTTGTTGCTGTTGCAGTTGCTGTTGTTTGGGGTTTGGTATGCTTCGAGTTGGCTTCGGCTTGCTCTTAATTGGTTTGGTCTTGAGAATCTGGTCCCGTCTTCTTTTCCCACCTCCACCTCCTCCTCCTCTTCTTCTACTCCTTCTTTTTCTTCGTTGTCTATGACACTGTCTAAGCCTAAGCAAACTGAAATGAAAATTGTATAGATTTATGCATTAGAGCGGAGTGAAACTAGGATATATTTTCTTTTTATTCTTCAATTGATCTTTCTATTGAAATTCAATACTCTGCGCAAGTTCTAAGCCCAAAAGCAAAACAAGGATACAAGGGAACAAGTTCAACAAGGGACAACGCTCTTGATTAAAATCGTTAAAAGCCCAAGAAGGAAAATTCACTTTTGACCACAAATCTCAGCTTATGTTTTTTTTCAACAAAAATCAGTCTAATAATTCCGTTTTGATACAACCTAATCCTTTTCGAATTCACTTTATACAAGTTTCTTAATTTATATACAATATAAGTATATACAACATATAAATATATATATAAACAAATTTGTTCACTCCATCCTAATGTACAAACATGTGGGATAAAGATGCACAGCAAATTAAGGCCAATTTTCCGCTGGTCACCGCTGAACACCGATCACTTGTCACTGATCACTGATCACTGATCACTGATTACCGATCACCGTGTGGCAGATGAGAAAAGCCCACTGGCCACTGGGCCACGCGCGTACTGTCGAAATGACCAAATAAATAAATAATTGAATGAATGAAAAGAAAAGAAAAGCGGGTCAAGTTTGCATTTGTCCGATTTGTCAAATCAAATAAGCCAAAGATATTGCAGCAAAAGTAAATACGTTAAAGGCAAATAAAACCAAAACTAAAACTTAAATCAACACCAACATAATGCGTTTGCATCTTTGCGCAATCCTATTTGATTTAGTTGTTGCCGCTTCTCTGTTTGTTTGTTTATTTTTGTTTATTGCTGCTGTTGTTGTTGTCGTTGTTGTTGTCGTTGTCGTTGTGCGATCGCCTCCCAGTTGAAGATGGGCCACATTAAGTTGCTGTTTGCTGCTGCTGATTTTGTTGTTATTATTATTGTAATCAGCACAATTAGGCATCAAACTTTGAAAGTAAAAACCTTTCAGTAAAAGGCTTGCACAATGTCAAAGCCAATCAGTTGTCAAACACATTCGTTTTACCTTGACCAAAAAAAATATAAATAAAATGATAACAATAATAAAATAAATAACGAAGAAAACAAAGAAACACTCTGAATATCCTTTTGTTAACTTGGCTACTTATTACACTTTGCCATTGCTTTAAATTTTAAACATTTGTTTATTTTTGCTAGCACTTTTTACACTTTTATATACATTTTGTTGTTGGCACTATCAAAATATAGGGAAAAATGCTTACACAATCTCGCATCAATTACAAAATTTTCTATTAACGTTGCAAAAAAGCACACAACAAAATAAAACCGCAAATTTGAAATATTTAACTAACGGTTGTTAAGCATGCGCGCGCTTCACACGATGCAATGAAAAGCGAACAGCTAAACGTAAACGTAAATAAAACACACAAGGCAATACAGCGAAAAAAAAAAAAAAAAAATAGTAACGTATCCACGGGCGGCAGTTAAACTCAAGCATAAGCGCACGCTAGCAAGTGTGCGAATCAAGTAAGCCGCCGCAAGCGACAGCGAAATGCAGTGTGTGGAATTGTGGAGGCCAAGAAGTTGGCTAACCGCTAGCCCAAGACGAACTTGATAAAGCCAACAGAAAGAAGAAGACCGACCGACCGAACGAACGAACGAGCGAACGGTTGTGGCTCTATGCATGTGCTGTGATTTGGGCGCCAAATCAAATTTCTAGATTGTGCTGCCAACTTGCTGTTTTTAATTTCGATAACTTTTAACAACACATTATATGTACAAGATTTATAAATAGTTATTTGTATTTGAATTTGAATACTATTTAATATATATAATTTGTATTTTAATATTTTTACCTAAAAATATAATTTAAAATTGGGAAGACTGATGACAACTGCGATCCGATAACAGCATTTCGTCATACGATAATCACGAAACCCAATCGACCGTCCTCCAATGTCTATCGGCAGATGTGACACCAGCATACCAGTTTTTAGAGTTGTACTTTTTTTGCTCATTCCAAAAAAACAGTTCAGTCGTTCCATTATTGGTGAATCGCTCATTTAGTTCGGTCGTTCATTTAAGGGCGATTTCGTTTGTTTAGCTTGCTTATGTTCGATTTTAGGTCGCTCACGTTCCATTATCGTTATTTTATGTTAATTTTGCTGGTTTTTGTCTGATTATCGTTCGATACATTTTTTTAAACGGTAAAATACCCTTTTCAACTAAAATACATATATCAAACTAAATTATATTATTTGAATTATATGTATTTTTTTTTATTATTATTATAATGCTGAGTGGCTTGCCTTGGAGCTTGACTCAAAAAACAAAGTGAACAGAAATGTGATGCACAGAATAGAAAATGGAAAAGACAAGAATCGAACTCAAGGAACTAAGCGAGCTACAATCGAGCATTTAGTTCATGCGTTCAGTTGTGTGAGTAGTAGTTCAATCGAACTAGTTCAGAACGATTGGGGACAGCTCTAGCAGTTTTCATTCCTAATCACCAATGCCACACGATAAATGCAAGCGCCCAAATAGTTATTGAAAACCGCGACAATTGCAAACACAGTCCGATGGACATAAACGTCGACATGTCCGAAATAATTGAATTCGTAATGCCAATAAGACCCGAATACGACAATGAATACAATAACGATGGCGAAGACGACGAGGATGCTGACAGCGGTGATCAGTATGTGATCCTGGATGGTGTCGATGTGGGACGCGAATATAAATACGAAGAGTTCCACTTGACCAAGAACGATGGCGACGGCGACGAGGAGCTGCTGCTCGACAATACCCAGCTGCATCAACAGCTCATCATTTGCCCTGAAATCCAGCAGGCAATGATGCGTGTACCCAAAAACGAGTATATGCAGCCGGAACAGCTGTCCGACGAAGTAATCGATATCGTCGATGAGGAGGAGGACGAGCTGATCAATGAGATGTACGATGACGATGGCGTCGCAGAGTACGAGGAGCAATATGAACACCAGGAGCAACAATATGAGCAATATGAGGATGAGACGGAACCGGAACAAGAACAAGATGGCTTTCTATATATGGAAACGCAGCAAACAGAAACAGAAACCGAAGCCGAAACAGAAACCAGACCAATCGACACCCGACTGGACGCGTTGACCATACTTCATAATAATAAGTCATCGCCGAACAGTGCCCAACAGAGTACAACACATCCGCCGGCTGTGGATGACAGCGATGCATATGTGGAATGCATTGATGCAACTGCTGCGGAACTGGTCAGCAGCGAGGAACTGGCAAAGCCCAGTGATAAGATGTTGGATCAGTTTAAGGGGCCACGTCGCTATCAGCTCTACGACGAGCTGATTGCAACGATTGTCGACTTTGATGAGGATGGCACACCCATTGTCGAGTTCCGTATGATTGCCAACACACTGGATGAGAAGCTGCCGATTGAGTGCGGCATCTGTCCGGATGTTATGCACAAATCGAAACTGGCCAAGCATCAGCGGACACATCTGGTGTCCAGCACCAATCGGTATGCGTGCATCTATTGCACCGAAACGTATCGGGATTGTAAATATCTGGCGGGGCATGCCCGTCGTCACATGGGCGTCCGGCCGTATGTTTGTGAGCCGTGTAAATTGTATTTCTCCACCAAGCAGGATCTGCGTGTGCACAATCAGCGACGGCACCTAAAGAAGGAGCACATCTGCGAGATGTGCGGCAAGACGTTCGCCCAGAACACCCAGCTGAAGCGGCATCGCGAGGCGACACACGAAAAGAAGCGACGATTCCAGTGCAACCACTGCCAGAAGGCCTACTACAAGAACTTCTCGCTGCAGGAGCACATTCGCAACGTCCATATGGGCAAGCGACGGATGTTGAAGTGTCCGTTCTGTGGCATGCAGTGCCGTGATGCCCACAAAATGGCCAGGCATCGCAAGGAGATGCATCTGAATCAGGATACGTATGTGTGCCATCTGTGCCAGGAGGAGTTCACCGACATCAACTATTTCGATGCGCACAAACGTTCCATACAGTGCCGCAGCAATACACGCCGGTTGGTCAGCGATGATCGGAGTAATCCACACAATGTCGATGGCATTTTCAGTGCCGATAATGGCGATGTTGATGGCGATGGCGATGAGCTCGCTGGTGTGCTCGACGAGGACTTTGATGAGGATGCCGGGCTCCTGGCCGAGCATAACGATGCCGTTGATGGTTATGCGGATGCCGAGGCGGATGTGGATGCGGATGTGGATGCGGATGCGGATGAGGAACAGCTACAGATGCACAATAATCAAGCAGGGATCTATGAAACTACTGCCAACGATAGATTTCTGCACGACGATGGCGATGAGCAGCAACAGCAGCACTACGATCAAAATACCTACGAGGATGAGAGGTCGCTTGTGGAGCAGGTGATTGCAGACGTTGGCGAGGAGCAGTTTCTGGTGCAGCTGGAGCAGCAGTCCCTTGAACAGCTGGAGCGTTATCATAATCAAGATCAGCAGCAGCCCTTTGCTGACCAGTATAACGATGATGAGCTGATCTACGAAATCACACTGGAGACTGAGGATAACTGAGCTTTTGAGCCTTCAATTTTATTTCCCTCCCTCGCCCTCCCCAAAATCACCGATGCCCAATTTCCTGAAACTCATCGCGTTTCTCAAACAGATTGTAAATACATAGTAAATACATAAGAACACACTATATATATATATATATATATATATATACATATATATATATATATATACATATTCATGTTCTTCGTAAGTAAATTCATAAGACTCTGTATTTATGCATCATTTTTTCATAAATAATGGTTATTTGGCTGGCTGCTGGTTTTTTTCAAATAATTATTTAAAACAGATTTGCAATTTGGGGGGCCCAACAAGTGTCACAAAATAATAATAAATAAAAATACAAATGCAACCCAGGAGCACAGAGCTGTATTCGCTGCTGCCATCAGAGTCAAATGCAACTCGGATGTGGCTGGATTTGTGTAGTGATGATATCACCATTGTCATCAACAGTCCCCGCAAGCACACACACACAGCGTGTAGTGTTGTGAAGCATTTCACATTTGCGTTCTATATTTAGCAACGACCAACAAATACAAATGTAAATCTTTATACATATACATATACATATATATATATATCTATATATATATATATACGTATATAGAGAGAGAGAGAAATGTAATACATAAAGATGACATCAACGTTGTTAACCTTGCCTATCGAAAGCACCAATATATCGCTCTGCCGGCTAGCTATCGGCTAAAGTGGAGGACGACCGCGATATATTGGGCGGCAAGTTAACAATAATTTGTATTTCTTTGATAATTAAACAAACAAAAATATATATCAGCCTAGTCCGCTGGCTACTGTGTTAGCTGTGCGGATGTTATACAGCCAACATTTATTTGAGAAATTCCCTTTGGCTTATCATTCCACTTTGGTACGTTTGCAATAGCCTCACTCCACCTAATCACATTAACTTAAGCCTTCATTTTCATTTTGTATTACACTTGAGTCTTAATGCGCACTTCGTCATATTTTCTCATCAACAATATTCTTATCTAATGAGTGTACATTTTGAATATCTAATACTCTGTTGGGCAACTGTCCACATCTAAATTCTGAAATTCTAAATTAGATATGTCTTATATTTACAATTATTTATATTATTAAATGCTTACAGAAGAAACATAGTATATATTTTTTTAGCTACATCACTGTTGCAGGCATTGCGCATCACTGATGCCTTAGGTGCTATGGACGATCAGCTGATTGCGGCGTATGTTGGGATGCTTCAGATCGTCTTACTTTTCTCTGGATTGCAGTCCTCCGAAGCTGTGTTGGCCTAATTGTCCACCGGCGATCTCCTTGGTGGCCGCTTTGTCTTTAGGGACGTAATAAATCTGTTGTTGCCGCTTGCTTATATATGTATATATATTTTCCTGCCTCTTCCCCCTTTTTTCTGCCTCTTTTTTCCCCTGTCATTCTAAAGGTGGTGCTAGCATATACATGTATGTATGTACATATGTATATTATTGATCTATCGCCGACCATTATAACGTGCAACGTTGAATTTAGTATTGGGCCTGTTCGTATGAGCGAGATAGGAATACCCTTTAGTGTTCGCTCTCTAATTGGTATCGAAAGAAATGGTCATCCTAATTACTAGCTGGTATCGAATTCAAAGTATCGTAAACAAAAACGAAATCAAAATAAATAATAAATAATGCAACAATTGTTGCAAATGATGAGGCAAGTAAGCGGACAGCTCCATGGTAATGGTGACATGGCAACGATGATATCGAGCAAACCCACAAGCATCAAAGTGGGCAGAGGTAAACAAAAATCATTGAAAATCAAACACTTCATTTGGCTGCCGAAAGTATTACACAAATAATATAAACAAATATATATATATATATATATATGTAATTTGAATCAGATACATCAGATAGCATACGATGAAGAACGATAACAAGGAGGACGATGAGGTCGAGGGTGAGAACGCCGCCAACACAGAGATTAAATCCGAAGCGGTTTTAACTGTTGACACAGAATTGGAACACAATGCTGATAATGCTAATGATGGCGCCGCTGAGCCCGATAGCTGGGAATCGTATCAGGCACGCATCGATTCCCTAATTGCGAACGAGAGATGCAACAAATCGATTCGGAGGCTGGACGAACGCCTCCAGAATGTGGCGCATCGAACGCGTCGCGTCTATCGCGATGCCCCCAAATCATTCGCGGAACGTGCGATCAATCAGCTGGGCAAAATCGATCAGCAGCTGGAGATGTCGAGCACACGTCTCGGCCAGTTGGTGCACTTTGGCAACCATCTGGTGACCAATATACGTGTGGCAAACGAGCGACGCGAACTCGATCGCCGGATGTTTGAGTCATCGCAGCAGCGAGAGATAAAGCGACGTCTCGACGGCGAGAACATGGAGTCAATGGCCAAATTTGAGGATATCAAGGATCGCTGGACCGAGCTGGATGAGATAAACGAGCCTATGCTGCTGTGGGATCAAATCGAGGATCAAAAGAAACGCATTGCCGAGATCATGGAGCGCAAGGATGAGATGATAAATGCCTGCCAAACGGAAATTGATCGCATGAATGCCAAATATGAATTCGATCGCCAGCGACAGGCAGCCGATCTCTGCTGTCTCGTCGAGCGCATCGACAATCAAGTGGAAACGCTCAAGGAGGCCTACAAGCATCATTTGGAATTGCTGCGAAATACGGTCGAGGATGAGCGTCAGACGTTCTCATTGACCGCGGAGGAGAAGTGGCGCAGCTTCTTCAATGCCCTCAAGACGAACTTCGACGAGAAGTCGAATTTGGTGCGTGTCCGAGAAGAGTTCTATGCACAGCAGACGCAACAGCTGCAGGAGTACCAAGATGAGCTGACCAAACAGACGCGCGTCCGCTTGGAGAAGGAATGCGGCCGTTTGGAGTTGGAGCTCCGACGAACACGTGACAATGTGCTGATGAACTCGGAGAAGTTGGACTACAACTATCAGGTGCTGCAGCGACGCAATGAGGAGAACACAATCATTAACAATCAGCAGAAGCGACGCGTTGCCCGCTTGTATGAGACGGTGGCACGGACGCGACGCAACTTTAAGGAGGTGTTGCACAGTGGCCAGCGCAACATTGCGAAGTTGACGCAGGAGATTCAGGCGCTGCATAACAGCATCACCGATATGGAATCGAAGGCGTTGCACACCCGTCAAATCAATCGCAACAAATTCAATCGGGTGTGGAATATCAACTATGAGGAGATAACGCTGCTGCTGCAGCGCATCTTCAACATCGATCGCATACTGCACGAGCAGCAGCTGGTGATGCCATGGCAGAAGCCCAACATTAACATCGAGAACATCAATAAGCCGGCCGAGAAGCGACACGTGAGCAATGCCATGGATCGGATTGAGCGTCGATTTGGTCGTTTGCCAAAGCAATATGGCGGATCTGGATGCAGTGAGAGACCTAGTGTTGAGAAGCAACGTGGTCCGTTGAAGGAACTGCCACCGGAATCGGCACGTCTCATGCGCAACATATTGCGTAAGATGGCCGATCGTGGTGGCTTCCTTATTGAGGAGCGACTGCTGCGAATCCTTAAACCCTATACGGAAATGGAGCAGACATTGGTGCGCATCGATAATATATTTTCCGCATTGCGCATACACAATTTTGATAATGTCCTGGAGCTGACAAAGGTCTTTGAGCCATACACCTATTGCCCGAATTGTCAGCCTGAAGGCTTGAGTTCGGCCAAATGCGCGGAGGTCTTCCTCAAGGAGGAGCACGATAAGGCACCCAAACAGACGCACGATGCCAAGGCAGATCAAACGGCATTGCAAGTCCCAGCGGACAAGATATCATGGCTGGTCAAGGGATACGATGAGCGTGCGACTGCCTGCCCGAATCATTATTTGGTCATGGAGCCAGCGTTGGTGCTGCATGCGATGAATCTCTATACGAATCGAAAGCACAAGGAAATTTATGGCGTCAACCCGGAGGGCAGTTTCGAGGGCGAAATGATTCAGTTCGAGGATGAGGAAATTGAAAAATTCTGGCGTCAATTTGCCAACATATTTCCCGACTCCAAGACGCACCTATGGAAGACGCTGGAGCATGGCCTCAATCATTACGTCGAGGTGCTCAAGATGCGCGTCCAATACGATGCCGAGGTTGTATTTCTGCGTCGCCAGAATCGCGAACTGCGGCATCTTCTGCAAAAGTTCAAGGTCTAATTTGCTGATTCCTGCTATTCATCGACCCAGTCGACCATATTCATTATCCATTCTACTTTAGATACAAATTGAACAGTTACTTCTATAATTACATACCAGTTCATATATCAATCTAATAATCTATATAAAATGTATATATATTTTCGAATTGTAGAATATAATGCGCTTTTCGAAGATGTGAAACTCTGTTCAAATAGGACAACATCCATATCAGCATCATAAAATAAATTTCAGTTGCATTTTGCGAAGAAATTAGATGTTGTTGGCTGCTATTTTTTTGTAATGATCTGCACTGTTTTGCAAGATCTCTTTGAGGATGGGGGGATAGACGGGGTCAAAACGATTTGCAGGGTAGATGTGCAGCTATTTTATTGTCATAGCCAGATGAGTTCTCTAATAAATACTAATTAATTACATTTTACAATTTATGTAATTAAATATAATAATATGATTTTTTTAATATACTTTTTTTCCTATTCATCTTGCTTGGCTTATTCACATTTTCACAGCGAATGCTAAATAATTTTTTTGATTTATTTGATGTAGAATCAAAACTGATGATCGATGCTTGATGTCGCTCAGTCTGAATTCAGATTGGATCGGTTGTTGTTGCCATCTCGCTTTAAACCGTGTTGTGAGCTGCATATCTGATTGGAAGATCTCGTGGGTCACCAGCAAAACCCACAATTACGCTAGACAACTTGCTCTGGTTCAACTTGCTTGTCTAGTTTGAAGTTTGAAGTTTGAAACACATTGATGATGAGCCGATAAAGTATATATTGTCTTGATCCAAGTTGATGTAGCCATTTTTTACACACATTTTTTGACAAAGTTTAAAGCAACCTTGTTAAAATTTGGCATGCATATATTATACATACATATCATTATGTATTTATAAATAGATTGAAAGAGTTAACTTGAGGGATCGACGCCTTACAATTATCTTCGTTACAACCTTGAATTATTTTTTACTTTAACCTGTTCTTTTTATATCTTTTTTTTAATATTTTTTATTTAGTCCTTCAGTCGAAGAATGGAAGAAAAGCGTTTTTTATTCATCGAATTGGTTTCAAAATTATTTGTCAAATTTAATTATAATTCATATTCTTTCTCAGCATTTACGGCTTATAGGAATTAAACACCAGCCCGAACTGACTGATTTGCCAACCAAAGGGCATTCAAAGTGCGACGAGCCGCAGTTCACAGCTCATATTGGACTTTACCACCAATCAGCATCATTCAATAAATTTGCCCCAGATCAGAGTTTCAGAGTTTTTGCCATGGTCAGTGTGCATATTAGGTATGTTCTATCTGTTGCTAGTGTTTCCCACTTTTGTGTTGCAGTTTAAGTTCATATCAAATATATATTGATATGCAAGTTTAAGGGTCAATTGATTGTGAGAAACTCAGTCGTTTCGGTTTTAGTTTAATGATCGGATCAATCGCGTATGCAAAACCTAGAAAAACTGCATCATAGAAAACTAAAAAAAAAGGCTGGCGTAGTCGGAATTTTAGTTAGTGTTATCATAATTTACGGGCATGACTAATTTCACCAATACATATGTACATGTATATCTATATATATATATATATATATATATATATATGTATATATGTGAGTGTGGGTGTCGGAATTACCGCTGTGTGTGTCCAAAGTTCTGTTGCATATTGTTATCTACAACTGAGCTGTGCACATGTCGATAAAGCGCTGTTTTCTTTTCATTTTTTTTTTTTGTGGCCAGTTAATTGAAGACCACCTGTAGTTCATATATGAACACCCTAGTTGCTACTTATATATAAATATAGATTTATATATACACACTTAGCTCGAGTGGTTTAAAGTGCGCGGCGTATTAGAAACGTATAAATGTTTAAAGTGTAAATAAAACCAAGTACAACAGCAGCAACCAAAAAAAATAAAACAAAAACAAAAAACTATTGCATTTATCGATGGATTTTATGGCATAGCAATACGATAAAATAAGTAGTAACAAAAAGAAATACGAAGTATGTTTTGCTGTGGCGAAGTTTTAATACACTTTAGAAACTTGTGATACTATTTATATACATTAAGTTAAAGTAAGAAAAACACAAATAAATTGGTAGTTATAGAAATATATATGAAACAAATGACAACTCTGAACTGAGCTAAATACAATATAGCTCAACAGCTCAAAGTCAGGACTAGACAATTTTTGCAATTTATATATAAACAAAAAAGAAAACCAGATATTTTGAAAGTTTCAGCCAGACATCCTTCGAGTCAGGAATATATATGTATATAGATATGCAGACTTGATGGTGTTTGATACCGGGAATACCCAAAGTAAGCGTATTCCCAGCCATGCCGACTAAAGAGTCGGCAACTACATTAATGTCTCCGAGTACAACAAGCTTCGTCTCTTCTTCTACTTTATTTTGCTGTTTACAGTCGGAAACCGTTAAGCACGGACACATAATCTAATCGGTGGGCAAGCGCATAACCTAATAATATAACATATATTAGATATATATATGTAAATATATATATATATACATATGTATATAGTACCATACGCCTGTAGAGGGAGCGATGCCCGATCGGTCGATCGGTGGGCAACCCACTTGGCAAACATGCGACAGCCGTCTCACCCACAAGAGCACTTGAATCCAGTTGCCAGCTATGCCGCCGATCATGATGATGATGATGATGATGATGACAGCTATGACGCCTGCCTGACCGAGGATGTGAAACTGTTTGGCCAACAGCTGAGTGCTTTGGAGGACGACAACAGTTTCCTGCCAGCAATAACCAGTTACGAACTGCTGAATGGGGTAAGTGATCGAAATTGGAAAGATCTCTATAACTGATCTATATATGTACTGATATTGTTTGAGCCCAAAGACTGTATTGGAATCGGAGAACGATCTTAGTAATCGCCATTCAACGTTTCCTAACTAAAGCTCTTAAATTGCGGTAGATATAGGCTTTTATCGTTTTTGAAGACTGGAGGGTGCTTGCAATATACCTTTCAAATTTGATGACTCCAGCTTTCAAATTGTGTGAGATATTTGGACTTACCTCCAGCTTACAGATTGTGCAAGATATGCGCATTGCAGATTGCTAGGGTCGATGGATCCTGGGGGTGGCTTGAAAAAAGTTATCAGCAATTTTTTTGGTCAGTATGTTGATCACTCTATCTTTACAATTGTGGGAGATATGCGCATTTTTACGGAACATTCCGATATATCATTAAAGATGCAATTGAGCTCGGGGAATGTTGAAAAAAATAAGTTAATGCATTCAAAATCATTGAAGCACTATTCAACATTTAACAAGCTTCTCTTGCCAATAATAAATTCAACATGGAATAAATGTTGGCCAACTGATCATGTTGTTTCTATTGTTGTTTGCTATGTACAGGCTCAAGAGGAGCAGGATCGGGAACAGGAGGAGGAGGAGGATGAGCTGGTAACTGCAGCAGCTGCAACGAGCAAGCGAAAAACGAAACGAGCCCCGGGTACAAAGAGGAGTAGGAGGAGTTCAGCAAACATATGCGATGTGTGCAACAGATGCTTTGGCGACTCGTACAGTTTGCGGATCCACAAGATGACGCACACGGATGAGCGGCCGCATGTGTGCGGTGTGTGCGGCAAGGGTTTCAGGCAGATGAGCAAGCTGCGCATCCATGCCGTCACCCATACCGCCGAGCGACCACATGCCTGTGATATTTGTGGCAAGGGATATCGGTTCGCCAACTATTTGACGGTGCATCGGCGTTTGCATACCGGTGAGAAGCCCTATGCCTGCACTGTGAGCAACTGCAGCATGTTCTTTCATTCCATACATGCGCGTCGCATGCACCTGAAACTACGACATCCCAGCAAAGATGTTGATCAGCAGCAGGAGCAGGAAGAGGAGGAACAGAATCGATCAACGATCGAGACTTTGTCGGCAGCGGTTTCATCCACGCTGAGCTATACGTGCCCCATCTGCGGACGCGTCCTGTCAGATCAATGCTATCTAAATACGCATCTGAAGCGTCACTATAATCAGCGTGATTTCGCCTGTACGCAGCCGGGCTGCGGCAAGCGTTTCTTCAGCTCATCGGAGCTAAAGCATCATCAGATTGCCCATACGCGACTCCGTCCATTTCGGTGTCCATTGTGCTCCTCCTGCTTTCTACGCAAATCGAACTGCAAGCAGCATTTTTTGAAGGTGCACAAAGGCCACACGGACTGCAATTGAGTTAGATGACAAGGCTTTTGTTTTAAAATATAAGGTTTATTTAAATGTATATATATATATACGATTTATACATAGAATTCCTTTTGTTTTCTGTTTTTGTAATGGTTTTCTTTTCTTTTTCTTTTTTAAAATTATATTTATGTATTTATATTTAGATGGTTGCTTCCATTTATGTATATTAGATATATGTATATTTTTGTTTTTGTTTTTTGTTTTTTGTATATGTATTATAATTTTATATGTAATTGGTAATTGGTATTGTTTGCCTTTTTTTTTTGTTGCATTTACTTTTGTATTTGCGCATTTTGGGTTTCTCAGTTTTCTCAGTTACGTTAACAGTTTCAGCGTCAGTTTTAGGTTTTTATTTTATTTATATATTTTTTTTAAAGTGTGTTTTGCGTTTGGTTCTCTTTTTACAACTATTTTTCATATGTTTGTCGTCTCTGTTCATCTTATCTTATATATATATATATATATATATATATATATATATACATATATATGTATGTATATATATATGTGTGTAATATTACATTTGTTTTAGCAAAAATATTCAGATAGGACATACACATGCACATACGCGTATGTAAGTATAAACCAGTGTTTGCCAACGCCAAAATCAAAAGAAAAAAAAACACACACAAACACTGACAGACGGACATAGCTATAACGACTCGTTTACTAGTGCTGATCAAAAATATATATGTATATACTATGCAACTCATGGGCGCGGTAAGGTCTCGTTTAATTCCCTATAAGCTTTACGACAAAATCGGAATACCCTCTGCAATATAAATAACAACACCTTTTCATAGACCTTTTGTAATGCAGTTGGCGAGACCATCGAATTTTAAAAATATTTAGCGTAAAAAACATATATATATATTTACTTTTTCCTACGAAGCTATGACTTTTAAAAATCAAATAACCATTGCTTTAAAGTGTTCGCACTAGGTATAAAATCACCGAAACAAATCGTAATTGCATCAATTGCAAAATGACAACACTAAAAAATAGCTGCGCTCAAAACAATAGCAGTTGAAAATATGTATAACATTTTTCTCAAAGCTTTGGAGTGTAATTATTATTTTTTTTTTAAGATGAAGAATGCTTTCTTAAGAAATATTTTGCATCTAAGTTGCAACAGATTTAAACAAGTTTAGTAACAAAACAAAATAATTAAAATAACAAAGATTTGCAATAATTAATAAATAATCTACCATTATTTTTTGAAATTTTTTTTTGTAAGGTTTGGGCATTTAAGATTCAACTTTTGTAACCGTGATACGGATTTTTAGTAGAAATTGTTCCAAAGGTGAATCGATTAGTGAGTCAAGCGCTGCTTCGGAGCCAGTATCAGGCGAAGAATTGATTACATCTTCTAGTGGACTCAGAATCGAATCGAATTAGAGAAATATCCATTAAAGCTAAGTTTTAGCAAAGAAATTAAAGATCAAAAGTAAGCCTACTATGATTTTGAGCGCAACTGTACATGTTCGTACAAGGCCGTATCCAATCCTACGCCAAGGAACGACCTGAATTGTATTGCTTTTGCCAACCACTTTTCATAGATTAAATAAAATAATTAAATGTTGCCTACGATTGTTTTCTCTTGGGGAAACTCGGCTGAAGTTAAGTGTTATATGTGTATATCCGATTATTGTTCGTACAACCAACTGCCGCATGCATTCCACATTGATATTGCTTCTCATTCTAATCGTACACAATTTTCTCTCTCTCTCTTAAGCATGCGGCATTTTAGTTATCCAAGTACTTATGTAAGCAGCTTACAAAATGCGGAATAAAAATGACTTATTGCACATACATGCGTTTAGCGTTGTGCAACACTGCAATGCGACAGGGCAATGCTGTTTTAATTGAGCTTTGGATTTTTTGGTCGTAGCAAACGAATTGCATTTTACTGGTAAACAATCAAAACTAATTTGAATTTAAGAACTATTGAGTCCAACAAAATACGCAAAACAAACAAAGAAAAACTCAAACCAAAAACAAACAAAACAAAAACACTGCAGGTATATAATTAAAACTAAATAACGGACAGAATATTTGAATTTTTCTCAATATTCTTGTATGACATATTTCATTAATTGGACGTAATTTGGAGTTAAAAAACATAAAGGTTCTACATTTTGCATATGCATTTGCTAATTATGTATTTATTTTGATGTGAAGAGGCAACTGATATTAAATGGTTTCCATTTGAACTACCATGCAGATTTGGTTTGGCAAGTGTTTCTTGAAATCAAACTCATTTGTCCGTGTTCATTTTTTGTTTTCGATTAAAACGAGTGTTTTTGGTTAAGTTTTGTTCGTTTATGATCTTAAAACACACACATACTAAGCGGAAAATCTAAACGCTACAAACAACATTTATATGACACATTTTCATTTTAAAATATGTATGTGTATATATGTATTTATGTGTTGTAAGATAGCTCATATGTAATTTAAGGTTTTGGATGTGTGTGAGTGTGTTAGCTTCAAGCTGTAAAAATCGCAGTTTCTGTTGTATATATTTGTTTTTTTTTTTTTGTTTTTCTTCTTGATTTTGTCCCTTGCTATGCCTAATCTTAGAAGAACGTATCCCGAATTTCATTCACAATCTCCATTTTTTTTAATACCTCGTGCGCGTTTACCAACACTGTTTAACAGGATATACATATTTCCACTTGATTTCAATATATATATATATATTAATATTCTTTTTTCTTTCTTTTCCTTAGTTTCCTTATCTCTTTTCTACGCCTAAAAACACCGTATAAAATGTTCCGAGTCTCAATTTAAAATTGGTAGCTGCCCCTTCTTATCAAAAATGTTGCTTTCATGTTTCACTAACTCATGTTGCCTCCCCTGCCAACGCCCTACACCCTACATCCTACACCCTACGCACTAAAATCCTAAGCTTGTCACGCCAAATACATCATCTCGTTCGTATTTATGCATGTATTTATGTATGTTTGTATGTACGTATGTATGTATGTATATGTGTAGAAGTATATAGATATTTAGAAGATCTCTTTGTATAAACTAAATATGTATGTATGTATGTATGCGTCTGTAACTTTACTTATTTTTAAGTGCTCTCAGAATTTCTCTTCGCTTTACTTTTCTCTTCCACTCTGTTCCCAAATGTACACAATTTAGAGTATTTGGGTTATTGCAGTGTATGTTAATTTTTTGTTTTTCGAAAAAGGGATCCTTCTTTCTTTTTTTTTTTTAGAGATGAGACCATCAATGTTGCTGTTGCTGCCACTTTGGGAACAGAGTATCTTGCAATCGGTAGCTACCGACAGCCACACATTTTGTTGTTTGTTGTTCTTGTTCTCACTTCTAATTTGTTTCAATTGCTCTTTGTTAAGAAAAAAAAAATGTATATATATTTATATATATAAGAAAAGAAACAATCAAAGAAATTGTTAATTTAATAAAATATTTAGTTGTATGGGTGCATGTACAAATACATAAATACATCAATTTATGTATGTATGTATGCATGTATGTATGCATATCGAAGAGTTCTGTGTGTACGTACACACACACACACACACACACACACCCACTTACGACATGGAGCTGCAGGGCAAGCGTGGCGATCCCATCTGGGTGAGGACACGATCTAGCCATTGAAGCGGCCCATTCAGATGCAGCTCGATCCAGCAGGGCGTTGAGGTTACCGTCTGTCGCCGATATTCGGCACCCCAACCCTTCACAAAGGACATACGGATGGTGCACATGCGCGTCAACTGATAGACGGCCTCGAATCCTTGCGATACCGATTGTGACAGCAATGCGGCAAACTCCTGATTATTGAATATCTTTAGATTGCAGCCGGGCGGTATTTTACAAACGGTCGCCGGATGCCAGCCGTAACGCTGATTGCAATTGGGACTCTGTACGAATATTGAGGAATCGCTTAGGCATTCGGCAAAGACCTCGCCGCCAATATAATAGAGGCGAACGCCCTTCCCAATATGGCGACGCGTCTGCTCAACGACTTCGTTCCGATTGACGTTCGAGAGGAGGCCAAGACAGAAGCGCTCCGAATTCGATGGATCGGTGAAGCCATCCACTGTTATCGATGGCTGTGAGGCGTGAAATGTTTCACCTACACGGGTATTTAGCTCATAATAGGATATGGAGCACCAGAACGCTGGCTCATGATACATCACTGGTGCGGCATCTGCGGGCGGTGTTAGCCGCGACATATTCATATTATCATTGGGATCAATCGGATCGCCATCCTCGCTCATATAACCAGGCGGCGGTGTGCCCGTATTGGGTATGCTGCTGCCAACGCTGAGCACACTGGATTGCGAGTCCATGTTGCAGCTGCCCGGTGGCAAGTTCTGGCCAACGCCTACCACGCCCACCACGCTCCCACCAAATGATAGCGGCGAGTGTTGTTGTTGCTGCTGCTGCAGTTGTTGCTGCTGTTGTTGTTGTTGGTAGCTGGTTGATCCGGCTGATGGGTTTGTATTATTTGAGGTTGAGGTTGTGGTAGTAGTGATGATGATGCTGCTGCTATTGCTGCTGCTGCTGCCACCACCCAATTCCATATACTGTGGCGGACTGAGCGAGGCGCTGCGTATTATTGCAGCATTGTATTCCGTATTATTTGGTATCTGATGCGTATGATTGTCCAGCGGATAATCGACAATCGAATCGGGGGGCGTTGGCAGCGATTTGGGGACCAATATCGATAGCTCGATCTTCTTATAATGATATGGATTAATGCAGATATCGTCTTTGCGCAAATGGAACGCGTACTCGCAGTGCTCCAACGGTTTCAATTCATTCTGAGACTGCAGATCGGGCCAGCGCCACAGACGGCAATAGATGACGTGCGGTAGACCCTTGCGTAAATTCTCGCCGGTGGCAGCGGGCTTGCTGCGCGGCACGGTCACACAGCGCGTGTTGCAATTCTGTGTGGAGATGGCACGTTCCAGTTCCTCGAGCTGTGAATTCTTTTTGATCTTCTTGACCAAATTCTTGACGGCCTTCTCCGACCACTTGCCCTCGACACTGTTGTCCTCGTTGCCCTTTTTGAGTGCTAACAAACGTTTAACCACTTGCGGAGTGAATGGCAACATCTCACGTATGGTGGACACTCAACCGCGCCCCCTTCCTCTCCACTGTCTTGCAGCACACACACACACACACACACACACACACACACACACACGCACACACACACAAAGTCGGCTCTTAAACGCTTAACACGCGCTTAAACACCGCCTGCCACCAGCTCCACTGTCAAATTTCCGAGCAGCCTCTTCAGCTTCAGCTTTAGCTTCTTCGCCGATTTAAGCTTTTTGCAAATGGATTCACTTTCGTCGCCGTTGCTCAACACTTGTTTTGTAGTTTTGTTTTGCTTCCGTGATTTCCTCTTTTTAGCGTCCTTCGCTGTCGTTGCTGCTGTTGTTGTTGTCAGCGTTTCTAAAAATGTTCACAATAGTTAATTTAGTTTTCTCTCTTTCAAACTGTAAATGTGTGCGTGTGCTTGCTAAACTAATTAAAACTTGATAATTTGCCTGCATGCATGTGTGCGAGTCTGGGTCTGATAAACAACAAAAAATATGAAAAAAAAATATATATATTTATATATATAGAATGAGACAATTTGATGACGATTTTTGTGTTAATTGCGATAGAAGAAATGTCCTTAATCGCGTACTAATCAATCGATTATTTTATTTCTGATTTGTTTTGACAATAATAGTAGTAAATGCAGCCGCTGACGGATAGACTTATGTATGTGTGTGTGTGTGTGTCTGTGTGTGTGCTGCTCTCTGTGCAGCAAGGTGTGAGACTATGCGTAAAAAAAACATTTGTCGGGGGGCGTTTTGTGCCAAGGTCAACTGTCTACAAGGGCAGACGATGGCGCATAATTAAAATCTGGGAAATATACAGAAATTATCCTTGTGTTATTTGCGTTGTTTATCCTGTAAGTTCTATCGAATCTATTTTCTCTTTGGAGTACTGATAAATGATAAAAGAACATCATTGAAAATGAATGCCATACAATTGGCCAATTGGATATGAACTATTTACGGATCCTAAGCATCCAACACACACATACACATCACATATTACAATATATCTGGTAAATTTACAGTTTTACATGATTCTTAATTAGATGTGGCCAGCCTCTCTGGGGACTTGGGGAACTGATTGCGCACATTAACGGCAAATGGCATGGAATGAAGAAGAAGAAGAAGCAGCAGCAGCAGCAGCAGCACACACACACACACACACACGCACAAAAACATAACTTAATGGTATTTAGTGTGTATGTATGCGTGATATATGGGAATATTACCTGTACAACAGTGTTCGTTCCTTCTTCCACATGTAAACAGCAGCACGAGAGCAACTGGAACCGGCACCTGCAGCTGAGCTAAATGCCGAGCTGGAACTGGATGCAGATGCGGATGCGAATACGGATACTGATGACGATCGTTTAGCAAATGCAACAACAGCCGTATATACACTTGCACTTGTCTCTTCTCTTCTTTTTTATGTTGTTTTTCTGCAACTGTGCGTTGGGGGTGTCGAAGGACGGTTAACCGACCAGCGATTGGCACCGGAACCGGGCGCGTACGTCAAGTTGTGACTTAGCTTTAGCTTGGAAGATGTGTGTGGATAGAGAAGGGGGGTGGTGGTGCTCGTCGCTTATTTTAATTTGTGTATGTTTGTGCGCGCGCAAGAAAGTGACAGCTAGACTCACATACACATACACACAGCACACACACCACACATACACACATTCACAGAGTTTTATATACAGCGAAATGTTCCTACGGCTGCCGTCTTTTGCTGCTGCTGACCTTTCGCACTTTATGATAACTTTTCTATTGCGCTTTCCACTTCCACAGCTGTTTGAGCAGACAATTTCTATGCCAGCGGTTTGTTTTTTTTTTGCCGTTATTTGATTAGATTGTGTTTAATTCGTATTGATTTAATGCGTCTGAGGTCTGAGAGATCTATGCCGAAAAAGCACACCGTTCGTTGTGTCTGCTGTTTTTGTATTTGCACACACATATACGCAGTTCTTATTCGCATTCTACTCCACTGTTTCTGCTTCTTTCGTCGTCGCTGTGTGTCTGTGTGTGTGCGGCGGTCTGTCTGTGTATGCTTGTGTGCACATATATTCTTTTGTCTGAAATTATGTATTCAGCAAGAGCGATGTATTTTCGCTTATCGATAGTTCTCTTTGCTATCGATAGTAAATGTCTCCTCAAAAACAAATGATAGATTGAAAATTGACTACTTAGAATTTATTTCGCGAAATTGTTGAATCTCGGATTTTACTACAAACTACCAGTATTATATGACTATGTACGCAAAATTCGCAACGATTTTTTCAGAGACTCTTTGACCAGTTCATCGGGCGATGGGGTATCGAAACGAAACCGTTTTATATTCCGACCATAATCCTCACGATAATACATTTCCAGATGGAGCAACTCCGTTGGGGTTGCAGCGTATTTAAGCTGTGACCGCCTTGACTTCGGATATCCAGCGGATGTACTCAGCATGCTACCCACATCACTTGGTTTCGCCATAATTTGTTCTGAAGTCGTAGGCGGTTCCATTTTGTCCGAGTTGCAACGATGTCGCTTCCCAAAGAGCAGGCCAACGTAGAGACGATTGCTATCACATCTTATAAATGGAATATCAAAATGCTCGACAATTGTCGATTGCTTTTGACGCTGTTTGCTCGCCGCCTCGCGAGGCGGTGCATTCTTTTGGACAGCAATGACCGCTGTAGTCAGATCGATTGGTGCTGTCGCCCTGTCCTCGCCGTTGATCGCCACCTTGGTTACTTGGCCACCATCGACTGGTTCGATGATCTTCAGCGCACTTACGCGCTTCGCCAGCCCATGATTGACTTCCAGGGAATTGTTCTGGTTGCGCAGCTGGTTGAGCAATGGTATATCGAACTGGCGCTCCTTGAGCGGCTCACCGGATGCGCCACGCAGCTTGGGGATGGTTAGGCCGCATATCATGCTATTCGTTGTGTTCAGCTTTGGGATCCTAAGCTGTGGCAATGCTAATTTTGGCTGCATCGAATTGGGGGATGATTTTGGCTCGCTAGCATTTTGGGTGTCAAACTTTAGCTGGATGGTTTGCTGCAGCGTTTGGGTCGTCGCCTTATTCGGCTCGTGGTCAGCATCATTTGCCATAATTTTCAGGAGGCAGTGTTACAGAAAAACAAAATTAAATAAAAAAAATACACTGAAACTATTGGAACGCTTAGTTTCGATATATCTGTATATATATTTTTTTTATTGTGATCGACTAGCTCGATTGCCAGCCAGAAATATTACTTTCATAACTAGTGTTGCAAAACGTGAAAGGCAGCAAATAGAGCGCGAAGATGTGACTATTCAAATGTATAGTTAAAAATGTATATTTTTCAATTAGAAAACGCAATTAAATGTAATCCAAGCGACAAATGGGTCCGTCTTCAACCATTTTCAGATCGACCTTGGGTCCAACCAGATCGCGAATATTGTTAATGCCATACATGATCATCGTTGGCCGTTCGAGCGACAAACCCCAGGCGATAACATTAACATTCTCCGGCAGACCCATGGGCAGCAACATTTCCGGTCGGAAGATGCCCGAATTACCCACTTCAATCCATCTGCGCAGACCCGGATGATAGCAGAATATCTCCATACTTGGTTCCGTATACGGATTGTATGCCGGCTTAAATTCCAATTGGGTGATGCCCAGTTTCCGGAAAAATTCATATAGCGTGCCAATGAGATCGCCCAGCGTTAGGCCAACATCGGCAATAACACCCTCCACCTGATGGAATTCGGCCAAATGTGTGGCATCCAGTGTCTCGTTGCGGAACACCTTGTCAATGCTAAAGTACTTGGCCGGCGTGAAGCCACCCGGCTGATTGGCCAGCTTGAACAGCATCCGGGCACTGACGGCCGTTGTGTGGGTGCGTAATAGATTCTTTTGTGCCTCGTCCAGCTTCCAATTGTAGCCGTAGCCTAAAGAACCGTAGCCGCCTTTGGAGTGAATGGCCTTCACACGCTGCAAGTACTCGTGGGGAAACTTGTAACTCTGCGCCGGATGATTAATGAAGAATGTATCGTGAGCATCGCGTGCCGGATGCTGTTGCGGCTGGAACAATGCATCAAAATTCCAGAAAGATGACTCCACATAGTTGTTGGTCGGCATCTCCGAGAAGCCCATCTCAAGGAAGATCTGACGGAATTCGGAGCGCATCTTGAGCAATGGATGCAGATGGCCACGTGTCGGTGTCGCTCCTAGCGCATCAAAATTATATGATTTGAATTTTAGCTGCTCCCACAGACCGCTGGTCAGCATGTCCACGGTGAGGTCCGTTTCCAGTTTGGTCAGCGTTGTGCTAAACTCGGGACCCTTGCTCAGTACGAAGCTCTTTGTGGTTGTCTCCTGGAGCAGTTTGCGCTTCTTGAAATCGGCCACATCCTTGGCCGACAATTGCGATTTACCGCTTGCCACCAGGACAAGCTGCTCCCTGACGGTATCGACAATCTGATCGACCTTACGCTTAATCAGTGGCGGCTGCACGCTCTTATCCACCAATATCCAGCCGTGAGACATGGCCTTGCTGAAGCCAACCTTAGCATTCGGTCCACCATTGACCATAAGCACCGCCTGGGGAATGCCCTCCGCGGGCACCAAACCATAGACGGTTGCCTCGTGGCTGCCCTTCTCGACCACCGACTGGCCCTCGTCCGTTAATCCGAGTGTTTTGTGAGTGACTGTCTCCGCATTAACCAGATCGCCATGTGCCTGAATGCTCTTCAGAGCGCCGACAACTTTCTGGTGGTCAACGTTGAATTGCGTGGCTAGATCGAGTGTGTCGACCTTGTCAACGGACTCCAAATGCAATAGGATGCGCTCAGTGAGATCGGGATGCATAATGATCGACGCCGACAACAATTTCAAGACTAATGAAGACGTATGCGAATTTTTGCACCAATTACAAATCGCGTGTTTTGCGTGTCTTTTTTTTGTCGATGCTAACAAAAAATAATCCAAATATATCGAAACAGCCGGTTGACGATTTCAAGTCGATAAGTATCGCATGAAGTTAGTGTTCGTAAACGCTTACTATTCTGTTTATTTCGGTCGAAATGGTTGAATTTATTAAAATTACCACGAAATGTGCCGAAATACGCTGCGATGTAGCCGTAGAGCCCAAGTTCACAATCACTTGCATTTGCGGTTTATCCGGTCTGGACTTTGATGCATTTCGTCTGCACTTTTGCAGCAAACATTTGCACAAGGCACACGAACAGAAAGCGGCTACAGAAACCGTCGCCGCTGATTGTCTCCAGGAATCGTTGCTTATGCTGCCAACGGATATTCAGGAGGCCCCAACAATACGACAGACAGATGCACTCACTGCGGACGCTGATGAGAATGATAGCCGAAAACAGTCAATTGATTGTCGTCCCCGCAACAAGTCCAACACATGCACATATTGTGGCCGCACGTTTCGACGGCGATATTTGCTAGACACGCACCTCAATATCCATACGGGCCGCAAACCGCATCAGTGTGAGATGTGCGGCAAACAGTTTCGAGCCGTGTCCACATTGAGGCGACACCAGCGCACACACGAACAGCGAGAGGCGCTGCAGTGTCAGCACTGCGACAAACATTTCACCCATCGCAGCGCCCTGCTCAGCCACGAATTGAGGCACACTCAGGTGCGTCGCTTTGCGTGCAGCAGTTGCGACAAGTGCTTCTATACACCCAACCAACGAGACACCCATCGACGCAAATTGCACAGTGCGCAGAGATTCGATGCGGATAGGGATGCGATCACGGCACACCCTTTGCCGTTGCCCTTTGCCTGCGAGCTGTGTGGGAATAGCTATCGGAGTGCGTCCACTTTGAGCACCCACAAGCTGAAGAAGCATTACCGGCAGGCCAAGCACAGTTGCGAGCAGTGCGGCAAAAAGTTTGTCGATGCTGATCGTTTGCACCAGCACCAGTTAATACACGTTAAGCCTGAACTTATATTAAAATAATATATAACTCGTAAGCTAAATCGAGATAGATTTATTTTTTACCCCACAACACTTAACAATAAGTGAGTTGTTTGAATAAGTCTAACATCAGGGTAAGCCATATACGGGTAGCGTAAAGTTAGTTCGTAAACAGTAGGCTTAAGATATTTCCGTTTATTCAACTTGCAAGCACAGAGGACTTAATTCTAATTGGCGCCTGTTTTTTGATTGATTTCTTTGAATGGGCTTGCAGTGCTGTAAAATGTGGAAAAGTAAAACAGCTGTTTAGCGCAGACCATCGAATCAAAAAATACAAATTGATTGCGTTGCCTTTGCGTAGCCTGCAACGAATTTCGAAAAGCACACAAATGATTATCAGTCGTTGTTGTTGTTATTGTTGTTGTTGTAGTTAGCAGCTTACAAATCGAATTGAATAATGCTAAAGACTTTGAAGCCGGACACATTTGCCGGCTTACCAAATGCCAAGTGCGGCGAGGTATATTTCCAGAGTCTAAACAGCTATCGCATCGATTGCACTTTCTGCGAGATGAAGAGCTTTGTGTTCGCCGACTTTCTGCTGCACATACAGAACGAGCACTTCGACAATGGACTGCTCAATGCGGAGGTGCTGGTGCCGAAGCAGGAGAAAATCGAAACTAATTCGCCGCAATTAGTCAACAATCATCAATCGCAGCTCAATCCATTTACCTGGCATGAAGTGGCCAATGATGATGATGATGCTGATGCTGATGCTGATAATAACAGTGAGCATGCATTTATCGAAGATCCAAAAGAACTGCATCACAATGATGGGGATGATGACGATGATGATGACTATGATAACACGGCTGTGGAAGATCCGGTTGGGCTAACTAATAGCATTATGAAATGGGACAGAAGCAGCTTGGCGGCGGATCAGGTGCGACAAACACGCGCTCTCAAAATCGACTACAATGAAGAGTCGGACATTGAGAATACTGATGGTCAGCAGCAGGAGCAGCACAAGCAGCAGCACGTTACATCTCTTAAAGCCAAAAAGGAGCAACTGGCCTGTGCGCAATGCAGTAAGGTGTATCAAAGCAAAAAGACGCTGGAGCGTCACATGGAGCGACAGCACAAATTGTCAATAAGTATCGTTATGGCCAACACAGATGTCCACGATGATGATGGTGACGTGGACGACGATGATGACGATGACAACGATGATGATGATGTCGACGTCGACGTGGACTATGCACCACCCAAGAAGCATGCTGCAAAGCCGCAAATTGAATATAAATGCGAGCACTGCGATAAAATCTATCGTGGCAAATACACGTTGCGTCAGCATGTGAAGCGAGATCATGATATTAATCGGAGTGAAGCCTTTGTGTGCCTGGAGTGCAATGCACAGCTGCCACGTTTGCGCCAGCTGGACGAGCATGTTGTCAGTGTGCACGGTGGGGCGCCGTGTCTGTATTGCGGCCGTCGCTATAAGACACGCCACGAGCTGAAGCGCCACCAGCTGAAGCATACAAATGAACGGAATGTGGCATGCAATCATCCCGGTTGCGATAAACGTTTCTTCACCGTCCGTCACATGCGCAACCACAGCAAGGTGCACTCGGAGCAAAAGAATTTCGTATGTGAAAGCTGCGGCTACAGTTGCCGCAACAAGGAGACACTCCGTGTCCACCTGCGCAGCCATACGGGCGAACGTCCGTTTGGTTGCAAGGTGTGCGAGAAGCGTTTCCCATCCCATTCCGGATTGCGGGAGCACATGGCCATGCATTCGACAGAGCGGCCGCATGTGTGTACAGTGTGTGACGCAACATTCTCTCGGCAGAAGGGCCTCTACCATCACAAGTTCCTTCACGCGGAGACGAAACAGTTTGTGTGCAAGCTGTGCGGGAATGCCTATGCACAGGCAGCCGGATTGGCTGGCCATATGCGCAAGCATCGCAATGACGAACTGAATCGCTAATAACGTGTCTAAGATGTATGTTATCTTCTAAATCGGATCTTCCAACTAGCATCACAATTTTCTATTTTCACATTTGCATGTTATGTTATAATGTTTTTATGTTTAAGAACTCAGGCATAGGTTAGGCGCATACAAAATGTATACAATACAATATATATACACATATACATATAGAACAAATGAATCACATTTTATGTACATAATCTAAGGTAATTCTATTCTTATCAGATCAGTTTATTTTTCCTAAAGCTCGTTACGTTTCAAATTGAGCAATCGATAAGATAAGTCGCATCGATTGTTGTTGTCGATAAGAAATTGCGTTGGATGTGCTGTGTTTGTTTGGTTAATTGAAATAGGGTGGGGGGAATTTAAATTTAATTTTAGCCGCTTTTTGACAAAAATTAATCACGCCACAAATGCCAAGAGGCGCGTTTAATACATAATGCCAACGATTAAATTTAGCATACGCTGTGCGACAATGGCCGGCAAGACGCTTGTGAGTGCTTGCATTCAATTGAATCAATTTTACATTTCCAATTTTCCATTTAAAAGGGCGAAGAAGTGTTGGCTAAGCAGTGCAGCAGCACAAGAAGACAAGAACAGCCCACGAGCGATGATGCACTGCGTCATATGTGCGAGTATTGCGGTTATCGGACACGCATACGTTGCAATTTGCGGGTCCACACGCGACGTCATACTGGTGAGAAGCCTTTTCTGTGCGACATATGTAATGCATGCTTCGTGGCACGTTATCAACTGACCACACACAAGGAGCGACATTTGGACGATCAGCAGCGGCGCCGTCTCCATATGTGTAAAGATTGCAATGTTGGATTTTTAAGTGCGCGTGCACTTTATCATCACCGGCCACTGCATGCAGCCGTGAAGAAATTTCAGTGTACATTATGTGAGAAATCCTATGCCCAGGCAGCTGGTTATGCGCAGCACAAGCGTTGGCACCGCCAGCGTAACCAGCGAGCCACGGCGTCCACAAAGCAACAACCAACTGCCAAATAATTCAAATCGGCGCGCGCGTTTTTACATACATGTTGACCAACACTTAAGGTTATTTCGATAACACTGCTGTTATTATTATCGCTATTGAGACATTGTTTTGGCATATGTCTTTGCAGTTGTTGTTGTATTGACTTATTAATTTAGATTTGTTTTTATGGCAATTAATTGAAATAATAAAACGGTGCGCAGCATGTTGAAGCAGTGTCTAATCAATGTGGACTTGTCGCGGCTGCATGCCAAACAGCAGCTGCGCCCCAAATGCGGTGAGATATTCTACGAAAGAGATAACGAATACTCCAGCTTTCAACTTGTTTGCTGCCTCTGCGAAATGAAACACTTTGCCTTCGACGATTTCTCGTTGCACATACGCAATGTGCACTTTGACAAGCAAGGCAAGCCGCGCACCCAAACATCTAAAGCTCCAGCAGGCAGTAATCAGGATGCACTGCAGCAGCAGCGGCAACTACATCTTGTCAATTCGAGTCCAACGCCATTGATCGAATTCAGCGCCAACGATTGCCATAAATTTGTATCAAAAGATATGTCTGATGATGATGCTGATGATGATAATGACAACGATGATGATGATGATGATGTCGATGGCCTTAAGGCATTGCGTGTCTGTTCCTTCAAGGAGATCGAATTGGCAACCAACGAGAATGCCCAATGTGATGCAGAGAGTTCTCACAGTGATGACGAGGTGGAGGAAGCAGTCACAGCAGATTCACATATCTTTAGCGATGCTGATTACCATGACGATGATAATGAAGATGATGATAATGATATCGATGATGATGATGATGATGGTAATAGTGAAATTGGAAGGCAATCTGTATTTAAGGTAATGTCCAAGAAAATGTATTCATTGCTTGCATACATTTAACATTACAGTCAACCCACATCTTTGCAGAAGGAACGCCAACCCAAGGATTACAAATGCAAATATTGTGAGGGAAAATACACAACGCTTAAATATCTAAATATACACCTGAAGTTGAGTCATCCGCATCCGCAGGGGTTCAAGTGCAGCGATTGTGATGCCACCTTCGATGTGGATCGTGCACTGGAGACGCATAGACGCAAGGTGCACACAGAGTTCACGTGCAACATGTGCGACAAGGTGTACAAAAGTTCGCGAACGCTATTGCGCCACGTCCAGGGACATTCGGGTCTGCGACAGTTCAAATGCGAGCACGAGAATTGCGGCAAATCCTTCGTTAGCCAGCACAATCTCACATCGCATCGTCGCGTCCACAGCACAGATCGCAATTATGTGTGTGAATTGTGCGGCTATCGTTCGCGATATCGTTTCGCACTCGTCGTGCATCGACGCACCCATACGGGAGAGAAGCCATTCAAGTGCCAGACATGCTCGCGCTGCTTTGCGTCCAAGTCACTGTTGAATGAACACCAGGCAATGCATTCTACGGAGCGGCCATTCAAGTGCGACAAATGCGCGGCGGCCTTCTCGCGTCCCAAGGCCCTCTATCATCACAAGCATCTGCATTTAGGCATAAAGAAGTTCAAGTGCAAGATCTGTGGCAAGGCATATGCTCAGGCAGCTGGTCTCTCCGCGCATATGCGTGGCCACAAAATACAAACCGTTAATGGCATTGCCGATGGCGTAACAACAACAGCAGCCACGTCCTCCTCCACCCGCTATTGAGTGTCCAGAAGAGGTAGACTTTGATACTAGTATTAGGATACCTGTACAGCATTTTTAATTACACAGTTGAGGTTCGCTAAATTGATTTGCAATTAACATTTCCGTATAGTGAACTGATTTTGTGGTCCAATTTAGCGAAGTTCGACTGTACAAACTGCACAAATTTATCGAATATTAATTTGTTATTAAAATCATTGTCATTAGTTATAATCGGACACGATTAAAATTGTTTCAAAATAATGCTGTTGTATGTGTTTCAATGTAAGGTGCACAAAACGCATCATTTGATCTAACTGAAATTGTACACCCAAATCTGTGGAGAGAAAAACAAATTTGGTTATGTCCCACAATATTCATATTTAAGCCCTGACATATACAAAGTAGCAAGGGATGCTATCTGGCTATAGAATATATATATCCAATATATAGTATAGTATCAGTTAATTTGAACATTTTTGATTCGCTTCAACATTTATTTCGAACAGGAACTTATAACTAGACGCATAATAAGTTTACATTGATATACACGAGCTGACCTTTTTTTCATGGTTTTTGCTACGTGCATTGCCTTTTATAATACTTAAAGTATATAAATATTAATATACATATACATATATATATATATATAGTATTTAGCGTAAAACACAAATAAAAAAAATTGAGGAAATGTTTTACATACATCCTGAAAACTGACTAGACAGCAGTAGCAAGTCCAAGTAGCGGCTGCTTAAAGATTCCATTTACATACATACTATGTACATACATATACAACACACATATATAAATACACATATATATACATACATATATATATACATACATATATATATATATATTCAGATATATGTATGCATGTGTGTATGCAGGAGAATTTAAGCCCAGACGCGTATAGTGTAATCCCAGCTGCCAGTGGATAGCGCCGTGCCATCGGGCGACACCTGAACGCAGGAGACTTTGTTCTCATGGCCATACAGGAGGCAGACGCGCTCCGATTTCAGTGTGTCCCACAAGTTGACCGTATAATCATTGTAGCCGGCGAATAGCAGTCGGCCGCTGACTGAAAAGTCCACCGAATTGACGCCAAAGATGATGCTCTCCTTGGCAAAGACGGCCACCTCGCGATCGGCACGCATATCGTACAGTCGACAGCTGCTGTCATCGGACCCGGTGGCAATCGCATCGCCGCATGGATGAAATTTAACGCTATTCACATCCGATTGATGTCCTTCAAAGGATTGGACGACATGACCGGATCGCATGTCCCATATGAAGGCCATGCGATCACAGCTGCCAGAGACGAATGTGTTGCCCGTCTCATTGGGCGCCAAATCGATGGCCATCACATCGCCGGAATGACCATGAAAGCTCTGCAACAATTGCCCAGATTCGACATCCCAAAGTGCACAGGTTGAGTCGCCACTGCCGGTGAGTATTTGCTGATCCGAATTGGGATAAATGCAGCATGACATGTAGCTGGTGTGGGTGCCAACGGTTCGCTTTTTAGCTGCCATTTCCTCATCGGATGTGATCGGATATACGGTCACTTTATTGTCCAGTCCACCGCAGGCCACAAAATTACCAGATGGCGCATACGCGCACGCCATTATCCATGTGGTTGGCATTGTGACGGCATGCTCCTTGTTTGTGGTGAACGCATCCCATATGATTAAGCGACCATCTTGAGATGAGGAGATAATGTGTCGCTTATCGGGACTCCAGTCGGTGCACAGCACCTTCGCCTGATGGCCCTTTAGCACTTTGCGCGGCTTTATGTTCACATAGGCGATCTGCTCGAGTCTCTCAGCAATATTGGAGAGATTGACATCGTTCAGCTTTTGGCGCTCCTCTTCCAGTTTTGTTTTCAAATTTTCCGCCTCCTTCAGCAGGCATGCCATCTTTTCAGTGGCAGTGGCATTGCTGCCTGCAGCTGCGGCACTCTCCGACATGTTTTCCAAATTGATTTGAATGTTTATGTTCTGTCCGTGCCGTAATGTTTAATGTAAAAGCGGGGGCGAAAAATCAATATACTCGCTGCACTTAGAAAAAAGTGTATACACGAATACACAACGGGCGGCTGCTGCCAGTGTGTAAAATGCATTTCGTTCTGTACATTCTACACAACACTGAGCAGCACACGCAAAACAAACAAAATTGTTCGCTATCGGTTGGTTAAGCACACCTATCGCTAAGCAAAGTTAAGAAACTCTAGCTCACTGCTGACGGCTGACTTACATAATAAAACCACACACATGCTATTTTAAATACAGTAAAAACTTTAAATAACACTTATTTGTTGCTGGATTTGATGTGAGCCAAAAATATCGATAGCTGATAATATCGATAATATAAAGTGTCATCATTTAACAGCTGTGTTTTCGGTGCGATGGTAGCTGTGATTTTGGGGCTTAATGCGACGCCAAACATTAATGGGTGTTGCGTCGGGGGTCGAGAGTATCGATAGTCGTTGATGCCAATAGTCGACCAGGTGGTAGCCCCCTGTTTGAATCATAAGAGTGCAGAAAGAGAGAGCCAAATTAGAAAGAGAAGTTGAGCTCGTTGAGCTCTATGTTTGATAAAAAAAATCATAAAAAAGGGAGAAACTGCATGTTAAGACCAAGAACAAACATTAAATTCATCAAATTCACCAATATAATAAACACCAATTAAATATATATGAGGCAATTTGAAATGCGAGCTTATGACAGCACCACAGGAAGGGCGGGAACGCCGAAAGCTTAGTTTTTCGTGTTTTGAATGTTTACGATTGCCACTGTCCGTTAAATCAGCTGTTTCTTAGTGGTGTGTAGATTTGTGTAGTGTTGCGTAACACATAACAGTTTTTTGTTGATGCATTTGATGTGCGCTGAAACATCGACTAGCGATAATATCGATAATTGAAAGTGTCATCGTTCAACAGCTGTGCTTTCGGTGCGACAGTAGCTTTGATTTTGGAGCCTAATGCGACGCCAAACATAAATGGGTGCAGTTTTAGAGAGTGACTGTATTGCAATAATCAGGACACGACAGGATGATCAAATTGCAGCCACCAACTCGAGACTGTGGCCGAACATATTTCAATTTTCGTTGCGGCGAAGTGCTCTGCCTGGGCCCCACCAGCTACGATGTCTGCTGTGCGCTGTGCGGCCAGCGGTTGCCATTTGATGGATTTCCACAACATTTTCGGCTGGAGCATCTGACCGAGACAAAGATTGAAGACTGCAAGCTGTTCAATGGACAGGATGCAGAGGAGCAGCAACTAGAAGCACCAGTGCTGGAGGTGGATGTTGAGCCGCTGGCTATCAAGTTTGAGGATGACCCCATTGCACACGATGAGGCTGCACACGAGTCCAATGAACATGACTACGTTGATTTGGCTCTGATAGCGCTGCTCGACGAGGAGCACCAGACTGATAAGGATGCAAATAATGCTGCCCCATCTACTGCACCTGCTGAAGATTCGAATGATGACAATAGAACAATTGCAACGCGTCGACAACAGCGCAAAGCGGCCCTAAAAAATGTGCTTGTCCAGCGATCAGAAACGCTTCTGGATTGGATGGCAGCAGCAGCAACAGTAGACGGCAGCGATGCCCAATGTCTCGAAGTCAATGGGGATTCGGCAACGGATGCCAACGATGAGGAAGAAGACGACACCAGGGACATGCTCTTCCGGTGTGATCAATGTGAACGCGCATACAACACCAAGCGCAGCCTGCAGAGCCACAGACGCAGCAAACACAATGTGCGCAAGCCAACAAAATCAGCACAGCACAGGATTGCCACAGATCTACCCATTATGCCGTCACCAGGAGGCAGCGTGCGCCGGCGGCAGAGCAAGGGACCGGCGAAGATCTATAAATGTGATGAGAGCGAATGCAATCAGACATTTCGCACGGAGCGCGATTTGCGTGGCCATCGATGGAAGCATACGGGTATCTTTTGCGATATTTGCGGCAAGCCATTCACGCAGTCGGGGAATATGATGCGTCATCGTCAGCGGCATAGTGGGATCAAGCCATACAAGTGCCAGGAGGCCGATTGCGAGGCGACATTCTACACCCAAAAGGAGCTGACATCGCATAACATTTGCCACACGGGCCGCATGCCGTGCATCTGTGAGGTGTGCGGTCGTCCATGTCGGGATCGTGGCGTCCTCACTGCCCATATGCGACGACACACTGGTGAACGGCCGGCGAAGTGTGAGGTATGCGGCAAGGCATTTTATAGCTTCCATGACCTCAACGTGCACGCTGTCTCGCACACGAATCTGCGACCGTTTGTCTGTGATGTTTGTGGCTCCACATTTCAGCGAAAGAAGGCGTTGCGCGTCCACAAACTCCTGCACTCCGAGCAGCGTAAATATTCGTGTAAGCTGTGCAACAAATCCTTTGCACAATCCGGCGGACTAAATGCCCACATGCGCACCCACGAATCGAATCGAGCCAATCGGTCGAAAGGCATTGCCAAAGCGGACACCATCACAACTACGTCCACAGTTCAGCTGGAAATTCCCATCGAAGTGGATGACGACGTCAACAACGATGACGATGACGTTGACGATAATGATGATATTGATGATGATGATGATGAGATGGTGCAGGAGGCGGTAACCATTGAGTTGATACAGGAGGAGAATGCCTCACATGTGGAAGTTGTTACCGTCGCCGCTGCAGGCAGCTGGCATCAAACATAACCCAATGCAACAACCACATCAACTATTCCTAAGACCTGCGTTGTGTTTATATTTTAAGCTCTTCCAAGTCTCACCAATTGCAATGTAAATATAAAAGCAACCATGAACAGATACTACTATGTACTACATCCTTAAGCATTATTATATATTTAAGGAGGCATCTGCCGCCTCCCATATATACTCTCGAGCCGAGTCATTGGACTGTGTCTCGTCGCAATCTATGTTACATCTCTCGATGTAAATCGAAAGATGAGCTCTTGTATCTTGACTTATCAGACGATCTATATTCGAGATTCGCAATCTATCTTGATTCTAGAGGACACGCAATAAGAAGAAGCTGCCAAAGTAGAGTTTCAGGGTTTCCACCACGTCGCACAAGACAAATGGTTTCATCTTTGGCCTAAAGGGCGCCGATGATAAGCCCGCCACCAGCGGTTTCTCCTTTGCAAGTGCTGCATCAACGTTTTCGTTGAGAACGATGCCATATTCTCGAAACGCTGCAAGGTGTATGTGAAAAAGGATACAGATTACACTGTTCGCGGTGTGGGTACGTTTTTTTTTTTTAAGCCCGTCAAGGATAAAAAAGAAGACACAGCTGCTGGTGCGTGCTGATACCAATCCATATTGGTTAATCTGATAAATAAATTCTAAATCGAAAATAAAAATATCCAAATTATCGGTAAAAAGTGTCCTTTATTCTGTGTGCGGCACTCGCTACTGAGGTACTACATAAATATTAATATGCATGTGTATGAAATACATATACTGCCTGAATATAAACGAGTATACTTTTATTGCAATCTGTGTGCTACCAGAATATTGCTTATAACATATCCAAAATAAACAAAAAATAAAAGGGTTTTAAGGCTAAAAATACAAATAAATATATTTATGTCTACATTAGATATTAACAAAATGGACGTTTTTGTGTTTACAATTGGAATGGTTCCAAAAACAGCGCATGGCAAATAGCTAGAATAAAAATATTTAAAAAAAAGAAGAAAAACAGGCTACAACCAAATTGTAGAGTTCAAATATAAAAATAACATAAAGATTGTGACAGACTGATCAAGGTATAGACGGAATAATTGAGTAGATAATGTTTCATCGCATACTTATACGGATACTGATCATAATCTTGAACAAAATATTACAGAGGATGAGTAATATTTGTTTGTTTTTGATAGATGTAGTCATTTTTATCTATAAAATATGAAATGCATGTAAATGGATACAAAAATTGGCTTACTACTACTATATATGTTGTATATATCAGTTAAGATATAGTTTTTCACAGCTAGGGTATAAAAATTGGTTGGCTGTGATGCTGCGGTTGTGTGACTAATGCTCGTACTACATATATATAAACATATATATATATATATATATAGATAAGATCTATATAAAAAATATGCATGTAATTTGAGCCAATTGTTTTTAAGTACTATATTGCTTCGTTTAGCCTCCGACTTGCGACATTTTGCTTAAACAATGTTGATCTCAATCTTGATGAGCAGTCGATTGTCGGCACAGAATCCCAATTGCATAATATTGGATATGTTGGCATATTCGAGGAAGCCAAAGCCACGTGTGCTGATCGCCTCGCGCGGCTGATGGAAGGCGAGTATCTCTGGCTTGGTCATGATGGTGTCATGCTGCGAGAGACTCGCATCGCCTGGATGCACCATGCACAGCTTGATTCGCCCCTTGAATGGCCAGTCCAAATGGAAATCGTTCTCCGATTGCATTAAATGGACATGCAAACTGAGCACATGCGGCTTCCTCGGCTGTATATTCAAGCGGGCACAGAACTTATAGCCATACGGCGATGTATAGCATTCATGCGAATATGCCTGATTGTTGGCATTGGCGCGCAGGCGATCAACCAAAGCGCTCAGCTCCTCAATATGCCAGACGATGGTGCCGTTGCTGTAGCGAGCATCGATCGGCTGCTGTCGTCGCAGCTGCTCTTTCATGTTATCGATGTGGGACTCCTGCTCCCTGGTGCGCTGTTCCAGCACAACGATACGCTGATACATTGTCTGAACGATTTGTTCGTCGACAGCATTGGCATATTGCGGCGGCGGTGGCAACTGACCAGTCTTATGACCATTCTCCAGCGTTCCACTGCCAGTGCTCAGCTTTTGCGGCTGCCATGTGGCGATGGCGGTCTGTTGATGGGCCTGCAACATGAGCTGCAAGTGATGCGGCATGTCCGTTTTCAGATGCTCCTCCAATTGATTTGTCTCCGGGCGACCAACAAAATCGCATTTAATACTAGCAAAGGGGCACTTCTCCTCGAGCGGTTGCTGATGCTGCTGTTGCCGTCGATACGGGCAGCTGGGCAAATGCTTATGCAACTCAATGGGTGACGCGATGACAGCACACCCGTGTGGCGAATTTGGGCACTTGTGCTTAATCTGTTCAATCTCACGACGTGTATAGTTGTCGGGAAAGATGTCCTTCTCCGCCGAGAGCTGCTTGTTGTCCAGCGGACAGCACTGATTATGATTCTGCAGCCAGTCACTGAGGCAACTCTTGCAAAAGCGATGACCGCACGATGTCACCACCGGCTCATTCAGCCAGTCAATGCAAATGGCACACTCGTAACGCGAATCTGGATAATCCGTATCGCCATCGTGCTCTCCCGACGTATCCGAGGCACAATAGTTCCGATTCAGCGCCAGCGTTCGTGGCGGTGTGCTCTCCAATGCTCCGGCTCCAGCTCCACCGCCACCAGCTGCATTCGTTGTTGTTGTTGTGGGTGTGGTACTGCTGCTTCCAGCGATGCGCGTTCCACTATTGTTACTGTTACTGTTACTGCTATGCTGATGATGATGGTGATGATGCTGCTGGTGCGCCTGCGGCTGCTGTTGTTCGTGATGCTGCAGCTTCAACTGCTTTTGTTCCTGTTGAGTTCGCTGCATGGCGTTGCCGAAACGTCGATGCATGTGTCTCTTTTGCTCAATGTTTGTCTTAAATTAATTTTAGTAGCCAGATCTTCTTGGGCACTAAAACTGCAAAAGCATCGATGCTTAAATCGATATTATCTGTACCTTGCAGGGATGATCGATTTTTTACTATCGATATATCACTGTATGGTGAGCTGATGTATATATATATATACATATATATTTTTGGAGTAGCGGAATGCGATCACGCTTGAATACTGGAAGGTTATTTTATTTACATAACTACTTTAATGATTAATATTAATTATGAAATATAATCTCTTAAGAATTTTTACATGAACATTACATTAGTTTACTTATGATTTTACTTTAAATATATTTGGTTTTTAAATATTTTTTTATTTACCAATATAACGCATTCGACTTGTTTCAATTTGGTACCTCTTCCTACGTTATTTAAAATATATTACATATTTTCGATATAAATAATCGATTGAAGAACTATCGATATTTTACAGCTTTTTGGGGCATATTGATGCCACTGCGACAACAGTGTTGCAAATTGCCGACATTTTAACAGCTGAGCAAATTGACTGTTTAAAATAGAGTAATATTTCTGTTCGTTTTCTATGTTAGAGGCAATAAACTTTCCATGTAGCAAATTAAAATAATAATTAAATTTATTTATTACAAAAATTAAGATATAAAAAATTTGTCTGATTAAATTACTTAGCATTGCGTTATCGAAGTTGCTGAACTTTACGCGTTCTTTTGATAAAATTGCGCAACACACACACACTGAGTTCACACACACACCTGTTTCACAGCACATCACGTTTTCCCGGGATAGTAAGAGAGAGAAAAAGAGAAAAAGAGAGAGAGAGAGAGGGACAGAGAGAGAGAGAGGGACAGAGAGAGAGAGAGAGAGAGAGCAATAGATTAGTAAATTCACCTGCGCGTAAATTAAACACACGAACAGTCGAACTGCAACGTCCGAACCGTATAAAACACCAGCGTCGCACATTCGGAGCGACATTTGTGTGCGAGACGCGTCCCCAAACGCGAAACCTTATAACTGAAAACTTTTGCTAAAACATTGAATGAAAAAACCCAAAAACAAAATACGAAACAAACAGACAGCGTGACAAACAAAATTCGCAGAATGGCACTAATGTTCAATTGCAATTGCAATTATATTTACTTGCTAATATGCCTGCTGACTGTGTTCGCTTGGCAGCTGTGTGCTGCCAGGCAGATGCCGTTGCCAGCCAATGTCGCTGCGGTTGCCAGTGCAGCACCGACAACAACAACTGCAGCAACACGAGCCCAGCAACAGCAGCAGCAGCAACAACAACAACAACGGTATCACGCATCGTACGATAATCATGATAATGACGATGACGACATGAATAGCGATGCATCCTTGCCGTCGGTCCGCAGGCGACGACAAGTCTCCGATTGGTTTATAGCACCAAACACACGCTGGTGCGGTCGCGGCAACACAGCAAATGGCACATATAATGCATTGGGCGGTGCATCGATGGCCGACAAATGCTGTCGCACGCATGACCATTGCAAGTTCTACATAGCGGCCATGTCCAATCAGTATGAGCTGTTCAATTATCGACCTTATACATTGTCGCACTGCAGCTGCGATCGTCGCTTTCGCACATGCCTCAAGATGGCCAGGGACGAGGATGCCATCACCATTGGCAAGCTATTCTTCAATGTGGTGCAGACGCAGTGCTTTGTCCTCAAGACGGAGTCAATTTGCCAGCAGCGCGGCGAGTCGAACAATTGCCTCAAGACAATTGAGCGCCGCAAAGCCTATCTCAGGGAAAATAAAAAGTTTTAGACGCCAGAGCAGGTAAATAATAACAAAAGTTCGTCAAATTCAATTGAAAATCTTGTAATAATCTTATATTAACTCTTTTGCAGTTTATTTAACCAAAGCCTGTTTTTCTGGCTGCGTCCCATTTGCGAATACCTGCCAATTAAGCATGAACAACAAAAACAGCAAAAAGACATTGCCATGTTTTGTTTGAAAACTAATGGCGAAACTAAAACTCAAAGCAAGGATGAACGACTCTAAGCAGGCATAATCATTGCAGAGCATTAATCGCGTACTTAGATGCATATACTCTATATACTCGAATATTATAAAATGCCAGACATATTGATGTATTTAGGACGCATACTTTCCTATACGTACAGACATACAGACATATATATACATAAATGTTCTTATTCAAGTGCTATTATACTGCCTAGTATATAATATAAATACATATTAAGTTTTTTGTAGTCGTAGTCTTAGTCGTAGTTTAAAACATACAATCCATAGGCTGCCCTTGAAACAAAGTTTTAAATAGTTTGTAGCTAACACATAGCCGGTCTAGCCGTTATTATGCATATACATATATATATATATATTATACATATATACAAAAATATATCCGGGATTATAACAAAATTGTGCCCCTATTATTTATTACTTGTTGAGGCATATTTCTACATACGTCAAATCAGTTGTTGCCTTGATTGAATCATGTATAATCGCTAGCATAATCTTGTATTCGTAGCAATTTTACAGAAATCAATAAAACGAAAGTGATTCAAAAATCCTATTAAAATGTCTCTCTCAGAAAGTAAAAATAAAAAATCCCAACATTTGGAATATTGTACTTTAAACTCGGCAATCGTTATCAGCTCAATATTTTATATATATATTTCAATATGTATATAGAAGATGGCATATTAATTGATGGCGCATCTCTCAGTTTTCCGTCACATTGACGCAGCTATTGCTGATGACCCTTTGACACCTAGGCATCAGAAACGAAAAGCACATTTCTCCGCTTTTTGTTATTGTTATTTTGTTGGTTATTTGTTGTTATTTACATGCATATGTACATAAATAAATACACATGTGGCTGCTTAGACGCAGATGCGTCATAATTTTTTGGTTGTAGTTTTTCAGTTTTGAAAAACATTGCTTCAACTGCGTGCTAACCTTCAAGCCAGATCGATTTTCGATAATGATGGGCTATCGACTCTGATCGATAACTCGCCCACTAAAATCCATCCCGCCCAGATGCACTTACAAATGTCAATATTTAAATGAGGTTTGTGTTAATACCCAAGGGGGGCGTGTCTATTGCTGCTCTATAAATTCGAGTTAATTCCTGATATGACGCCGTCTCGTGTGGCCGTAGGTTGTAAAACACATATTTTGCTGATAGCCGACACTGTCGTAATATGAGAGATAATTGACGCTAGTTTTTGTCATTACACACTCAACATTTCTATTTATATTTATATATATATATATATATATATATATATATACGCATATGTATAGTTTTGGTTGTAAAACGTAAACAAATCAACTGCTTATTATTTGCCTATTTTTTTTACAGTCAATATTTTCATTTATTGTTATTCTAAGAACAAATTACACACTTTCGAACGATTCCGAAAATGAATTCCGCTGACGTTATTACAGAACTCCAACGGGGCTCAGGTGATGCGGAGCTGAAACGCAACCAGAAAAAAAAAGTCGAGTGAGCTCGACTCCGATTTGCCCTGAACCCAATTGTTAAATATTTATAGTTTTATTGGAAATATTATTGTTGGGATACAGAATGTGCTTCCGGCTGCTGATAGAAATGAGATCAATATGACAATATATTTTGGATTATACCATGGCTCTTTTTTATCCTATATATAAATTTTCTTATCTTATATAAATTTTGGCAGTTGATCAATAATATTCATAGGCATATTATATATTAGTTAGCAGTTATCGATAAAAATAAAGTAAACTTTATCTACGCCTGGTATACGAGAACCTATATTCCAAATTTTACGTCTCTAGCTCTTATAGTCTCTGAGATCTGCGTGTTCATACAGACGGACATGGCTATATCGACTCGGCTGTTGACCCTGATCAAGAATATATATACTTTATGGGGTCGGAGATGCTTCCTTCTGCCTGTTACATATATTTTCCCAACACTATTGTACCCTTTTTACCCATTTTAAATGGGTTCAGGGTATAAAATGAAAAGAATACTTAGGAACAGCGATATACACTGACAGATCGGAGCATCTAATTTGGACATGTAAGAATGCACTAGTCGAGTGAGCTCGACTGCGAAATACTCTGAACTGGACATTGCTAGATGGACTCGGCTGTTAATTTTCATCATCGTTTTGCCCATTTGTAATATGAAATCGTATCCAACTGGCTGAGCTGCTGGTGATTCAACAGCACCAACAGCAGTAATTGTGGCCTAATTTGAATAGTTAGTTGTGCAGTGTCATTGAATCAGTTCACTATCGATTTTAATTACAGTGTAGACGAATGCTTAAAACATCGATAAATCGATAAGCAATTGAGCATGCAATTATTCCGTTACGAAATAATTTTAAAAAATGAAATCGCAATTAATATCAATAAATTGTTATGGGCTATGGTTGAGGACAGTGCGATAACGTCGCCGATAATATTGACACTGGCGCAGATAGACACAGATCAGTCCCTTGATGGCCTCAAATGTGATGGCGCCCATGGCAATGGCGAACAGCCTGCCATATAGTTTGCCATACAGCGTTTGGCCGATGACAACGGCAAATGTGGGCAGACTGAGGGCGGTGCACAGGCGATACGTGGCGTGTTCAACATTCTCGATATTCAAAACGCCAACTTGCAGCATATCGTCGCCATCCAACGATGACGGCTCCAATCTATCAAAATAATCATCCGTTAGCGGGGCACCAGGCAGTGGATCGTTGTGTTCATCAACTTGCTCCTCGGACGACCGAATTGATTGCCATTGATGGCGTCGCAGCCAACGCACCAATCGATTGTCCCAATCGAAACGGCGTAGCAATAGCAATGCTACTGGCACCGATGGCAGCATAATCATTAGCAATGTGGGATCCTCATTCATCAGTTTAACGCTCGTCTCGTAGCCAACCACTTGATGCAGTGTGATTATTCCATATGATAACGTTGCCAAGTAGATGACAGTCAACAGCATGCTAATCAATATGCTGGGACACAGGAGTCCATACATTCGCTCCACATGCTCGAGCAGTGCATCGAAGCGGCAGACGGATCCGGGTATCACAATAATATATTCGGTGTGGCATTGCGGACAGGTGACGGGCACGCTCGGATTCGCCAGCTGCTTCTCGTCGATCCAGCGACAGAGGCATGATTCGTGCACCCATTTATTGGTGCCGCGACAGCGGCAAGGTTGACGCCAATCACGGCGAGCTGTTTCCTCATCGGTACTGAAGCAGATCCAACACATGCGCTGATCATTGTCCATCTTGACGGGATTTGGTTCGGTTCTTAGCGGCTTACTAAAAATTTTAAAATTCGCATCAAACGAATTTTCGATATTCTAAAGAATTTCTCAAGGAGTTGTCAAAAACAAACAAATAAAAACCACTTCAATGACAGGTTTCAAAAGCTCGAATTCAATGTCAAGATAAGAACAGAATCCTCTCTACTATTGAGAATCAATATTCCCAAATCGATTATCTCAATCCACAATCCACGCAACTCACGCTGCTCGGTCGGTCACAAGATAATCCAACCATCGATTTATTTCAATTGACGCAGTGCACACAAGAAAACTATTAAATATTACAGTTGCCCAAATATTACACTTGCTTGCTGGAAAATAAATAAATAACAAATAAATAAAATTCCTGCCTATTTATTTATTACTGCTGCTAATAGACAAATGACATCAGCTGTATTTCAATATCAAGCAGAATTTTATTGCTTGCCAATATTTTGCATAACTTTGTCATTTCAAGAGCAATGTCAATTTTTTTTTTATTTTATCATTGTTTGGCCTCGAAAGAAATAAGGCATTTAAATTTAAACTTTCAATCCTCAATATTTCAGTGGTTGGATGGATTAAGACTGTCCACAGCCACAAGTCTGTTTGTGGCAAAAGTGATTTATAGTTAAAGCGACACCAAAATGTTGCGTCTTTTTAATTCTCAGTTGTGTGTGAGCGTAGCCTAGATTTGCCATAGCTTTGGTGGTTTATTTATTGCACTGAAAATGTGGCACACGGTAACAGGTTTGTGGCGGCAACAACAGACATCAGCTGGAAAATAGGCGAAGGCCAATTTAAAACTGGCAACTGGTAAACTGCATACTGAATATGTCAAATGCAGAAATCACTTGTCACTGGCTGATAGAATAATATATATATCTTTATGATGATGCCTTAAATATAACTTAAACATAAACTATTTGGTAGTTGAATTGAGGTCAAGACCTTGACTTACTTGCCGTTGCCAATGTATGTTTGCACTAAATATTCCTGTAAACAGACCCACTCACAACACACAACACACAAAACACAAAAACAAACACTATTTGCGGGAGAAAAACAATGCACGCATTAAAGAATCACATTTGGAGTATTTTCGATATGAATGTCGACGAGTGAAGCACCAGGAGAGAGAGATGCAGCACGCACTGAACTTGTCAGCCCGAGAGCAGAAGAACATTTGGCTGACCGAAAACCAAAATGATTTCAGCCAGAACAGGCCGAGGCCAACTGGCAACTGGCAACTGGTAAGACTCTCGAGACTGCGGCTTTCGACCACTTACGCCCGGCCAGATGCCTTTCCATTCCACTTTTTCCACATTGGCAACTTGCTAAAAGGCAACAAACGGTATAGAAAAACAAAAACAACAACAACAGCAACAAATAGCAAAGCTTGATTCAATTGGGGCACCTGGCCAGTAAACTGAGCAGCTGAAATGGAGTTGAAGACGCTGGCAGCTTTGGGGATACTTTGTGTGTCAGATCGGGCTGAGAGAAAGGGAATGCCAATCGCAATAGATCTGCTCCATATACGAGTCCAGTGAAAACTGCTGCGTCCAATTTCTAAATAGAAAATAATATAACAATTCGAATTAATATTAAACATTCGCATCACTTTGAATTAAGCATGTTCTCTCGAAACTTGATTGGCTTGGAAACATCTTTAGTACTGTTAAGTACTCTTTTCGAACACAATAATTAATTGCACATTCAACACAATATTGCCAATAATTTGAACATAATCAAGAAACGTGTAAATAAAGCCAGTAACGGTCCAATTGAGAATTGTTTCCAAACAGTCCAATTGCCAGCTAGCAAAAGTTTGTCAACTAAATTTGACTGTCAAGTTGCAATTTCTTTAAAAATGTCTTCAGTAATATTATTATATTCTAATATAAATCGAATTACTTTAATTAATATTTTCTGAAACAGAGAAATTGTGATGTCAAAACTGATGAGTTCGCTGTTAACTGAAATAAAGTGAATCGTTTGTTTTTGTATAAAAATAGTTTTGTTTATTTGTTTTTTTCTGTTTTCGGTTTCTGTTTCGCGTTTTGGTCTCTGATTGAATTGTTTCAAATTAATTGTTAATTACTATTACCTGCTAATTTGTACATAAAAATGAGTCAGCAAGCAGCATTTATTATTGCATATTTATAGGCGCGCGGGGGCGATTTGGTGCCCCCGCCCATACCACCCACCCTCGTCCCTCATCCCCACACCCCCACCCGGTTAGCTGTTCCCTCGAGAACCCATCAAACACAGATGCCAAACAAAAACAAAAAAAAAACAAAAAAAAACTTGCAACAATCAACGAATGGTGCAACAAAAGGCAATTTACGCTACAAGGTTAATAATATTGGTTAACTTGTTACTTTTATCTCGATAATTATCGATTACCGATTTTGTTGATTGGTTTTTTAGGCAGATTGAATTCGATATTGCTTTGAATATATGTATCTAGAACGATATATACGATTAATTATTGATGATTTGTTTAACTTTTTCCGTTTGCTTTTTTTCTTTTCTTAGTTTTTTTTTTGTTTTGTTTCTTTGAGAGCATGAACAACAAATTCGTCTAAATAATAATATTAATCGTTTGAATAGTTAGTCGCTTAAAGAAGCTATTTTTGTTTTTTGTTTTGTTGTTGTTTTTTTTGTTGCAAATAATTCATTTAGCAAACGATTTTTGATTAAGCAATGTTTTCATTAAACTAATGTTGGCATTACAATTGAAAGCGCCCTCTAGCGACGAATATATGTATATATACAAGCTTTATATATTGGTTTTCTATATATGAGTTCAATATTGATTTTTGTCATCATCGAACGCATATATCCTTTTATATCTTTCTTTCTATTTGTATATATCAAAAAGAAGCTTAGACATCGGTATATATAATGTTGAAGTCAAATTTTGATGATCTCATGCGATTAGAAGTTGCAATTTTTGTTACACATACATACCTAATGATCGTAACCTATATAAATAAAATATATATGTATATATATATATATTATATATAATGCATATGTAAATATATATCATTTGGGATAAGAAATCGATCAAGTTATATATATATATATATATAAATCATTATTATTATTTTTTTTGCGAAAAAATTAGAGCTAATCACTTTGCAACTTATGTAATTTTACAAATTTATAATTAGTATATATATATGCATGTATGTCTATATATATACATACATATATACATCGTTTTCTATTTGTATGTATAAACGATTTTTTCTTCAGACTTAAGAATTGAGTTACTGGTATGGTGTTTAGAATTACATGTTTATGTTTATGTTTTATTATTATTATTATTATTATTGTTGTTGTTGTTGTTGGTTTGAATTTTTTGTTTTGTTATGTTGTGTTGGGCGTGGCATAAGGCTGGCATCTAATCAAAGAACGCAATTGGAGACAGTCGACAAACATATTGCATTTCTAAGCAAATATACCTCTATATGTTTGTATATATATATTTGTTGTTAGTAATTATATATATATATATATGTTCTATGTGTATGTTGTTGTTTATAGCTTTAACAAAATTCAAATCCAAATTCTACAAAAATGTGTGTGCTTCATTTTCTACTCGGATAGTTTTCGATTTCTTTTCTATTATTAAGGCAAATCGCACAAGTCAGGGGTTGCATACATATATATATATATATATATATATATATATACATATATATATATATGTTGCATATACTTGAAGAATCTAGATTCTTAAATCAATTTTTGTAAGTGTGAACAACACGAAGACTAAATACCATTTGTGTATCCACTCACATATATATACATATATATATATATATATATATATATATATACATACGTAAATACAACTAGTTACATATATGTATGTAGACTATATGTATGTATGTGTGCATATTAAATTCAACTTACATACATAAATACATACAGCGCTTGAGTTATTTAAAGCTGATATATTTTTAAGAGTGGAGCTTTGGAGATAACGATACTATTATTTTTTGTTGTTGTTGTTGTTGTTTTGCATTGTAGCATGAAGAGACTAACGGACATAGTATTGGAAGAATAAATATATGATTTGATTTTGGTTTTATACCCTTGCAGATTCACATGCTAAAGCTATCTGTCCGAATCGTGGCATAGATCCGGTTTTCTCATATCTGTGCAACATAAAAACTATGCTTGACGCACTGAAGACTTTCAGTGGATTTTGTTGACGTTACAAATGAAATGAAAACACAATTTCAATTTGACGCACTTAAAGCTGATCCTGAAGCATTTTTAGTCTTTACTCTAAAGCTAATCTTCAATTGTTCGTTTTGTTGTATGAATATCGATCTATTGAAGCATTTACAGTCAAACTGTCCAATTCACGGAACAAAAATCAAATAATATTTGTGAAATTATATTGAATTAAAAAGGATGGAGTTATTTCTTTATCTTTTTTTTTTTAAATAAATATAAGCATTAATTATAATTATAAATCATGTGAATATGTCGCTAAAATCGGAACTCTTCACAACTGTAATATTTGAAGCTCAGCCTCAAAATAATAATAGAAATTCAAGTGGACAAAGAAGGGAAATGAATTCATATTGAGCAGAACATGTTTGTATAGAAATTCAATAAGGGCAGGTTTGACTGTAGTATCAATATCTATGTATGTATGTATGTATGTATGTATGTACCTGCTTTCTGCAAGGGTATCTCAAGGTCAGCACTCTGAATATAATTCTTAGTTGGCTTAATTGTAGAGTGTGTTTTTTCGTGTGTATTTCTAATGCACTCGTTTTGCTCACAACTGCTCTCTCTCTCTCTCTCTCTCGCTCTCTCTCGCTCTCTGTCTCTGTCGCTCTCCCTTTTTCAATGTACGCATGCTTGAGGTATCAATGTACTTATTATAAAAAAAAAAACAAAAGAAAACTGTTGCCATCCCACTCGTATTGGTTGTCTCGCTATTGCTGTCTCTCTCAGAGGCGGTATTCATAGTGAGCGGAACGTGAACGTCTCGCACCGGAATACCAACGATACGGCACACGCTGCTGATGCAGCGCAACACCCAATGCCAGATTGGAGTGGGTGGCGCCACCGATATCCGCGCCCGGACTACGCGCCAACTGTAGCGTCAGCGCCAGCCGTGCCTGCTAGGAGGATGACGATGCCGATGGCGATGGTGTGCTAGCGCTGGATGTGTGGCAATGTCGTCGTTGATGCTGCTGCTGTTGCTGCTGCTGCTGCTGTTGCTGCTGCTGCTGTTGCTGTTGCTGTGTTGCCACCTGCACCTGTCCCGTTGTTGGCGATGGCAGGCGTCTGCCCAGAATGCCTCCAATGCCGGGCAACGTTGTGTTGGCATCCAAATATGCCTCGGGACTGAATCGGACGCGACTATGCTGCGATCCAATCGAACCCTCCTTGGCACTCAAATAGGAGCTATCATCGCTGGTCAGCGAATCTGGCGGCGTTGCATTTGTCGGTGTGCCCTGCTGCGATGATATGCTGCCGTTGTGTGTGCCACTATTATACTTCTTCTTCTTCAGCGAACTGCGCAACTTGCTGCCGCTGACCATGGGTAGCTGCTGCTGCTGTTGCTGCTGCTGCTGCTGCTGTTGGGGCAGTTGATAGTTAAGAGCATGCTGCTCAAAGGGCAAAGTGGCGGGTCGTGTGAGTGTGACGGCGGCGGCGGTGGCAGCGGCATATTTGGTATTGGTCAGCGGACTGTGCAGCATACGATTGATCAGCTTTGGCGAGCCGGCGTAAAGCTCCTGTTTGCTTGGCGGCGGCGGCGGCTGCGGTGCCATTTGCAATTGCAATTGCATTTGTGCCGCTGCTGGCGACGATGGCTCGCATTCATAGTCGACAACATTGAGATTAACATTCAGATTGAGATTGTTGTAATCGTAGAGCAGCTCCTCGTGCTCCTCCAGCAACACGTTCGAATTGTTCGACACGGTGGATGGTGTGCGTCGATGGCCGCCAGCACTGACCCCCATTTGTGGTACACGCGGCGGCGGTGTTCGCGTCTGCAGCGATTGTTGCATTGCCGCCGGTGGCACTGCCACCACGGCCATTGCCACCGGCACCTCATACGGATAGTCCGGATACTGATAGTAGTCGGGCAGGCGATGATTGTAGTCGTACGAATAATCCGGATACGATTTGCAATCGCGCTCATAGCCAAAATTCAATTCCGGCCGATATGGAAAGTAATTGGAGCCTGCAACGATATACAGATATAATTATCAGTTTCAAATTTCCAACCAGAGATATCAGATCTTGCTCTAGTTCGACAATCACTCTCCACAACTATATAGATCTAGATCAATACAAATAGGACTGGAAATGAATCATTTTTATAGGCATTGGCAATTCACAGTTAATTCATTTAACTTAATCTCGCTTGATAAATGATTTGGGTTTACTTCTTGATCAGAAGTTAAAGCTTGATAGGCATATTAAATTCACTGTCAACAAAGCCTTTCAAGTTCTTGGCTTTGTTTAAGCGTTGGTCAAAGGAATTTGATCACCCTTCGTCCAGTTATGGGATATGGATCTTGGCTGGATATTGTATGAATCTCCGCCAGTAATTTGGAATCTGTGCAGAAGACTTTCTTCTCTTTTGCTTCTTATTCAGTCTCCCTCCTTAATTAATCAGCGCGTTATGCCAAGTGTTATTTCTGTATTTAAATTATTACATTCTGAAATCGATTCAAATTAATTGTTCTGTTCCCTCCAGATCGTCGCATTATTTCTGCCCACTTTCTCTTAATCGTTGTGCTACTAATTATTGCTTGCATAAACCGTGTCGAGTACTCTGAAATGATTACAACAGAATCTATATATTCAGTTGTCTCCATTTCTATGATTAAGAACTCAATTTTAAACATGAGTCGGCTTAACTAATTCATACAAATTTTTTAGGTTTGATTGGGTTTTTTTTCCGGGGTTTTCCCCAAATTATGCAACGAATTTTGAACCAATTTTACATTTAATTACTCCCAGAAATCTTTTAAATATTTCCTATTTTCTAATTTATATAAATAATTTTACATTTCAATTTGCAATTTAATTTAATTCAAATTTGTTTACTTTTCGTATGCTTTGTGTCGACTGCCTTTAGTTGACATTAAGTAAATAAATCAAGAATATATATACTGTGTCGGGTCACAGATACTTTCTACCTTCTGCCTCTTACGCACTTTTGCCCAATCTCATCAAACTCCGTTTTCTAATTTTTGATAGGTTTAGTTCTAGGTTTCATACAACAAAGGGGAAGCTTAACCAAATCTCACCAAAGTAGCCATTGCGATAGGCGCCGCCGCCATCGTTGGAATAGCTGGGACCATTGCGCAGATAGTCGGCGGGTGCATAGAGTGGCGGTGGTCCGATGCCGCCACCCACACGGAACTCCTCAAAGCCATCGTTGGCATTGGTGCAGCTGCTGCTGCTCAATTTGCGACGCGATGATGGCGTCGCCGGCTGAGAAGAGCCGGCATACAGCACCGAATGTGGCACGGAATGTGGCTGTGTTGATGTTTGCTTCAATTGCTGCTGCTGCTGCTGCTGCGACTGCTGCTGCGACTGCTGCTGCTGCTGCTGTTGATGATGCATCTGATGTTGTGGCGTGCGCTGCACGGGTGTGTAGTAGGTTTGACTGCCGCCCACGCGTCTCTGTGCCACAGACTGCGGCTTGGACGTGCCCATCGTTATGTCCAGCGGTGAAAAGCTGCAGCACAAAATGAAAGAGAATATTCAGAATCAACTTTATCGCAAACAGACAGAATTTTCAAGTAGTTTTCATTAAATTATTAAATAAATAAATAATTAAATCTAATAAATCGGAAAGGGCTTAATTACTTGGAAATTATCAATTGTCATTTCCAATAAATGCATTTTGATGCAATTCGCATTTAAAATTCATCTTTTGAGTTCAAATTTTACAACTAGTTTTGAAATGGCTGCAAAATGTATTTTAATTTGATACCGATTTTTGTGATACAATAAAGCTATATATATATATATATATATATATATAATATACATACATATATTATTTATATAGATATAAGTATTTCACTTACCATGCATTGGCCGCATTATGCGTCCGTGTCGCCTCCAGTTGCTGTCCAGTGTGATCCTGTTGATCCTGCTGCTGTTGCTGCTCCTCAATGATTGCCTTCGGCGCCGCCTTCAAGGCGGGCAGCTCACTGAGCAGCGTGGGATGCACTGGCGACACATTCGACATGCGTACATCGTAGCCAGCCGCAACGCCCGCCAGCAGCGACGCCATGTTGTAGAGCAGCAACTCGATCACGGATAGCTTCGGCTTGCGGGCTGCATCGCCGGCGTAGAGTGTCGGCAGTGGCACGTTGCTGGTGAAGCGACTGAGCAGATATGGCGATGGCGACATTATGGGCATATTGGCTGGTCCTGGCCGCCACTCATCCTTGCTGCTGTTGCCCTGATAGCCTGTGCGGCGGGTGGCGTTCCAGTTTCCGGTGTTGCAAGCGTGAACAGTTGACAAAACAGGTTTTGAGAAACGTTTCGCTAAGTGGACAATGGGTGGGGGGTGTGGAGGGAAGGGGCAGCAGGGGTGGGGTTGGACAGAGAACACCGCAAGCAAAGATCCACCAACACCGCGTTTAGGGTTTCGAATAGAGCCATAAATATGCCAGGCTTCAGCACTTACAGCAAAAATTAAAATTTGTAAATTTTTTTTTTTATATATATTTTTTTTAGTTGTTTTATTGTCGCTTTCGATTTCGGTTTCTGTGTATTATTGTAGCTGTTTTTGTAGTGGTTTCCCCCTTTCTTTAAGATTATAATTTTCAGATCATTTTCCCTTTTGTTTGATATTTGTTTTGTTGTCCAATGAAGAGGGAGAAGTAATGTCAAAGAGTACATCCAAATACGAATCAAACAAAAGAGAAAAACACAAATATAAAAATGCTCTAGCCAAGGCAGCTCGACTAGCAGATACCCCGTAGCCATATATACATACACACAAGCAGTTTCCCTACAAATTACATCTCTCTTTCGTCGATTTTTAGTGTCGATTTGTAATCTGGCTGGATGTGTACACAATAAGTACGATGAATGATCTATGTTTAGATCATTGAATCTTCGAGATCAGACAAACAGACAGACAGACAGACGGATAGCTTCTTTTGTTTTCTTTCTTCAAATGTATACAGGGTATATGTGTATGTTAAACAAACTAAATTTACAGGAGAAAAAAAAAACTTGCATACAATAAAACATACGATTTTTTTTGTTTGTTTTGTTTTTCATTTTTCATCACAGTTTTTTTTTTTTTTCTTTTTTTTTTTTAATTTAAATTAAAAAATACTACAAATAAATAAAAGCCAATTTGCAATTTAATGTAAATAAAACTGTGCACAGAATACCAAACAATTAAAAAAAAAAAAAAAACGTATCGAAGAAGCAGAAACACACAGAAATTCTGACAAACTTCTTTCTCTCAGCTCAATACGTAATTGTAAAATATAAAAAATGCCATTTGACTAAAGCTAAGTTCAACTAAGATGCATTTTCTCGTGTGTCTATATAAATATGTTGTATATATATATGTATATATTTATATAATATGCATGCATGTAAAATTAGATATGTTTAGTTAGAAAAAAAATCGTTCACTTAAATGACAACAAATTGTTTTTTTTTCTTCTTTTCTTTTCTGTTTTTATAAATACATCGGTTTTCATAGTGTTTTAGAAAGGATTTCCAATCAATTTGCAGAGGACTCGCCAAGCAATACCCTCAAATACATATATATATATATATATATATATATGTATATATATTTTTTTTACAGCCACTACTTATGTAGTTCTTGTCAAGTATAGTTTCTTTCACTGGTCGCCTTCTTACAGAGAAATCTGAGCGTCTCTTTAACGCTACTTGGGCTATTGTACCTGAGGTAAAGCTTTCAACGTCATATATAAATATATATATTCCATATCTTTCATGTTTGATTATCAATTCTTCTTCTTTTTCGTTCACATTGCACACTTCGTTTAGGTTAGGTTTAGGGTTTGAGTCGTATCGACTTTATTATTAACGCCCTTAGCACTCCAGTTTAATATGTTTGCCGTGTTCCGGTTCTGGTTTAGATGGAGGAACGCTTCGCTTTCAATCTAAAGATAATATCTTACAATCAATCTTTGTAGGCCACTTTCTCGAACCAATATTGCAATATATACTTGGTCAGATATCAAATACCTTGGCTTAACTGATTTGCGTCCTTGCATCATATTTCACAACTTTCAAAAACATTTCTCATCAACGTTTAAGCTAATCTCGCTCTCAAATCCGAGTCCAACATTTTTTCTCATTCTCATTCTCTTTTTTGTAGATTCTCCAAGGATTGACATTCTCATGCCTCATACATTGCACATTGTGTGAGCTTTCACATGCACACACACAGAAGCTTTCAACTATTACTGAGAGCTTTTCACATAGGCCATAATAGTTGTCTGTGTGGGTTCTTCTTGAAGCTTTCGCTCAGTTTTCTTCTCAATGCGCATAAACGGAAATTTGGCTTGTTCTGCTTCTTTTTTGTTTTTGTTTTTCTTATCTTTTTTTCGTTATACTATTAATGTATGCAAGTGGTAAGTATCTGGATAGCTAAATATCTGTCTGTGTGTGTGTGTAACTGTGTGTAAGTGTGTGTAAGTGTGTGTGTGTGTGTTGTGACTTAGTCTATGGTTTTAATATAAAACAATGGGTATATGATATGATATACAAGTATATATGTACTACATAGTTTAGTGAGATGTATTTGATTGATTAATGCTGAGAGATGGATGCACGGCATTTGAATCACAACAACCAGCACAACAAGTCCAAGTCGATGACGAACTGTCCGTTAAAGCCACACACACACACACACACATCAGATAGGCACACACACATCAGACACACACACACATCAGACACACACACACACATCAGCATAGATCTAGAAAGTTGGCATCCTGCTTCAAAAGCGCTCCAATTGCTCACAGGACTGCGTTTGAGGCTTTTTACATTTGCGCTTTGATTTGGCCGTTGCAAGGGGCAACTGTAATTCCGTTTCATATGGATCGATTGCACCGAATTCCGCATTGGCCATTTGCTGGGCATCCGAGGCGAGTTTTGTGTACTTCTTCTTCGAGTTGCGTGTAAACAGATTCATGAGCCACTTGGTGCCACCAGTCGAGTGTTGTTGTTGTTGTTGCTGCTGTTGCTGCTGCTGTTGCTGCTCTTGTTGCTCTTGTGGTGGTGGTGGCGCCTCCACCGATTTCGATTTAATCATGTAACGCAAGTGTTTTCTGTTCTTTTTGGTATGCTTGGAGTGTTGTCGCTGCTGTTTGGCCTGCAGATCCTTGTTCATTTTGATGACATCCGGATGCGGTTGGACATCGAGCATGCGACGTGTGTGCAATATGCAGTTCTCATGTATGTTATCGTTATCGTTGTCGTTGTTCTCGTTATCGTTATCGATGCGTAGCCACTCACCATCGTTGTCGTCGTTCTCATAATCATCTCCAGCATCATCAGCATCAGCCTCACCATCGCCATCGCTGGAACTGTAGTTGGTGCCAAAACTAATCGATGCAATCGACACTTGATGCGGACCTAATGCCTCATTGCCAGCTGTTACATAGGCTGGTGCTGCTACTGCTGCAGCTGTTGGCGAGCTCATTTGAAATGTTACGGAACTTTTACGCGACGTGGAGCAATTGGGACGCGTCGTCTGTGTGACCGACGCTGAGGTGTCTATCGTGGATGACGAATGCTCCGAGGAGCAATGCGAATTCAGCTGACGCTCCTCCTCATCCTCATCGTCATCCAACTGTTCGTCGTCGTCGTCGCCGTCATCGTTGCCATTGGGCTCAGCGGCATTTGGCTGCTGTCGAAAGAAGCAATGACGCGGAAATTGCGAACCGGATGCATTGCCCTGAAATCGTCCCTCCAGATTATAATCCGTACGCGTTTCGGTTAAACGTGTCGCCGAATTGTACATGGTTAGATCACCGCTGGATTTGGAATTGACACGCTCGCTGCTGGCCATCATCTTTTTGGCCACATCGCGATAGAATGCCCGATCATACGTATTATTATCGCCTCGCTCCGGCGGCACCTCTGACGATACCAGCATCGTTTTTGTCGCCGACGTTGGCGGCGTCATCAACATCACTGTCGTCGCTGGCGTTGTAGCCATCGGCTGCACAAATTGGCTATCCAGCGAGAGTTTCTTTCGGCCAACGGCTGGACTGTTGCCAAGACTGCCGCCATAGCGTCCGGCACCGCCGCCGCACACGATGGGTGCTATTGCCACCGCCGAGGTGCTCGATTTGAGGAAATGAAAGCAACCGGTTGTTGGCGTTAACGCCTCCGTCTCGGAGCCATCATCTGATATTAGATGCATCATATTGTGTGGCTGATCCAGACCATTATCCTGGCTACGGGCGCGACCATAAATGCTCCGATTGCCAATGTTCATATTGCTATTGCTATTGATGTTGTTGCTGTTGTTTTTGTTGTTGTTGTGATTGCCGTTCAGTCGTGGCGATGAGATTGTATTAGTTTTATGATTACTATTGTTATTGCTATGTATGTGATTTTGGTTGTTGTTGTTGTGGTTGTTGTTGTTGCTGCTATTGTTGTTGTTGTTGTGGTTGTTGTTTTGGTTGTGGTTGTTGTTGGTATGCATTATTAAATATGGCATACCTGTGGCGACACCACCAGCGCCCGCCGCACACCCGCCGCCCAAAAACAGTGGCGTTGTGGGCGCCGAGCCGCCCACATTGCAACTGCCTATCAATAGCTGTGATGCGATTGATGTGCCAATGTTGTCGCTTGCTGCCGCACACGTTGCATTATTATTGTTGGTGCCACCCCCTGATACTGCTGCCACCAATGCTGCAGCTGCTGCAGCAACCAACTGCTTCTTGTCCAGATTGGGTGCACTCTTGCTAAACGACGAGTGCGTGGAGCTTTGGGCCGGCCACTCAGTCTGGCCGCCACCATCCAGTTGTTGGAGCGGCAACAGTGAACGCTCCCGCTGATGCATCGTTGATGGTCCCCAGGTTTTGTTCTTGTGGCCATCGGTGACTGTTATTCGGGCGATCACCAAAATTGCCAAATCCACAAAAAATCCATCAAAACCAAAATATCCATAAAAAGCAAAAGAAAAAGAAAAACAAGGGCAAAACAAAAGACAAAAAAAGAAAGAAATAAAAGAAAAATAGAAATAGAAATCAATAAATAAATAAATAATTCAAATCAAATCAAGAGTATTCTATGCAATAAATAATAAGCTACTAATCTCAATTCAATGCAGAATCGGAATTGGAATCGGAAACCGAGGCAAATCTACAAATTTACTTTACTATGGCGTTCCATTTCCGTCCGTTTCAGGTGCATATATCAGTTATATATCCTATTCCAGTCGTTTCACTGACAATATCTGTGTTCCGTTCCCCGTTCAGTTCTATTCCTATCGTTTCCGTTCGTTTTAAGTTAAATTTATGGTCGTTTCAAATAGTTATGTATTTAAAAAAAAAATAAAAAGTTATGTTGCACATTCGATCGAACGATTATTAACAAGTTCTTTGTTCTAATTTCGTTCGTTTTAAGTAAATCAATTAATGTTATTCCCCGACATAAAGTATATATTTGTTTAAGTAATCAGTTTGAAGTTGAATATCAAATATTTTCACTCGACAAACTCAAAGTTCACAGATATGTTCCATTTCCGTTTGTTTCGACATGCAAAAGTATTTTTAAGTTTCTTCAACTGGGTATTCAATCATGATTCATGTCAGATTATAATTTCTTTTCTGATCTTTGAAACATGCTGGAAGTGGAACAGTCTTCAGACATCAGCCCTGATGCGAAATGGTGTACATTGTACGGATACATAAACACATATATATATATATATATATGTGTGTGTGTGTGCTGGGTTTTATTTGGAAGGGATATTTTACTCACGTGTCACAATACGCAATCGGGAGAGGGAGGGTGAGCCGGGTGGGTCCACTTTGTCGCATACGGCCGTAATCGTGTGCCGGAACTCGGTTGGCAGTGATATCTGCAGCGCTTTCTGTTTCGCAATGTAAACACAATACTCCATTAGAATAGTTATTGAAATGGCCAACCAAAAAAAAAAAACGGGTAAAATGGTTTTATGTAACAGGAGAAAGGACGCATCTCTAATCCCATTAGTTATAAGGATCACAGTCGAGACAAAATTTGAGAATTTAGAATATAAGCTATAGGTTCTCGTATATCACGCTCGATCGATAACCGATACATATCGATATCCGATTGCAATAAAAGCTACAATTTTAAAGGCAGAAGCCTCTAATTAATTTAGAATATACACTGATCTATCTTAGATCAACTACCCAAAATTACATAATCATTGTGCGTCATCTATGTATATATATATATATATATATATATATATATATGATATATGTATGCAACCGATAGTCGCTAGCCAGCTAGCTATATCGTAGTCGTATCTTACTTTTTCTTTTGTTGTTTGTTTTTGTTTTATTTACCTTTTTGTTCTTTTTGGGCTTGCGTTTTGATGGCACCGGAACGGGAACGGGCACCGGGACGGGCTGCATCATTAGCTCGCGTCCGATTATGTCGATCTCGCGCTGCCGCAGGTGCACCTCGAGCTCGTGCAGTTCGGTTTGCATGCGTACCAGTTGCTCCTCCTTGGTGCGCAGTTCCTATGGATTGTGGCACACGATAGAGAACGGAAACGGAAGTGTTGGCGAAAATGGGATTTTTTAGTGCAACGAACAAAAACGATAAAAGAAAAAAAAAACAGACTACTGTCTAAGGTGAATATACACATGCAATTGTGCTCAACTAGCAGTGAGTGAGAGAGAGAGATAGACAGCGGGGAGTTGTTGCCGGTGGTGGTGGTGGGGGAAAGGCGTTCAACAGAAAACTCATAAGAAAAAAGGAAAAAAAAAAACAACACAAAACTCGAAACCAATCGCAATGACCAAAAACAGTAACGAAACGAAAAATCGAGCAGTAAGAAAATGTTTTTTTTTTTTTTTTTTGTATTTCCTTCCCTTTTTTGGAACACGGCGCGCTTACCTCTTCGATGGTTTGGAAACGCTTAACATGATTTTTTTTTGGTTTTTGTTTTTGTTTTGAAAATTTGTGGAGTTGGGTAACAAATATTTGAGGGGAAAATTTGGTAGAAAAAAAGCGAATAAATGAAATAATTAGAAAATTTGTTGTTTGTGTATATGATGGCTAGATAGATATACATATAATACATATATAGAGATACATAATGCTCAACTGACGGGGGGAGAGACGCGCGTGCGCGCGATAGATAGATAGAGAGAGAGAGAGAGAGAAAGATTGCGAGAATCGTCTCGAGATCGTTGCAAAATGCAAGGGGAAAACATTTTTTAAATATACTACGATGGATGATGATGAACTGGAATGGGCAGTAGATACCTTCTCTTTTTCGCGCAAATCGTGCAGCACCTCGGCAATCTCTTTTTTCCACTGTTCCTGCAGATTATGAAACGATTCCTGTGGCGTCAACGTAAACTTCGAGCAAGCGCTACTCTCCAGCTGTTCAATAATCTTCTTAAAGTCCGGTCGTAAATGCGGATCACTTTCCCAGCAGCCTGCAACACAAAACCAAGTTGAATATTGTGCGTTAATCTCAAGATGAATCCCATCCATAGTTTAGCAAGGCCAAAATGTGATGGATGTGTTTGCAACTTGTTGCTCTTTCTACTCATTTGCACTCACTTTTCATGAGGGCTGCCCAAGTTTCGGGGCAGGTTTTTGGTATCGGCAACGTCAGCGTATTGATAGCTACGCCATAAGCAACAGACAGCGGATCGAATCCCTTATACGGTGTCTCGCCAGTGATTAGCTCCCAGAGCAGCACACCATAACTCCACACATCGGAGGATCTGCACATACATTAATTAGATATATATATATATATAAATATGTGTGCGGATAAATGGGGCTGGGAAAAGAACTCACTTGGAGTACATGCTCCGGCTGATGACCTCGGGCGGCATCCAGGCATAGGTGCCAGCGGCGCTCATGCATTGCGTTGTATACATTTCACGTGCCAGTCCAAAATCGGTGATTTTCAGCGTTTTACGATGCAACTGGCTGCCCTCGATGGCCTCATAGATGAGCACATTGGATGACTTCAAGTCACGATGTATTATCGACATGGGCGCCTCGCTATGCAAATAGTTCATGCCACGTGCAATTTGTATGGCCCAATCGACGAGCACATCGGGCGGTATTTTGCCAGCGAGTATGCGATTTAAGCTGCCACCACGTGCATATTCCATGACCAGGCACAGTTTCGTTTTCAGGCAAACGCCACGCAATGCGGCCACATTTCGGTGTTTCAATGGCCAAAAGAGTTTGGCCTCCTGGAGGACATTGTCGCGCATCCGTTGCATGTCATCGTCGCCCGTTTGATGGGCAATTTTAATGGCAACCTCCTCGTTGTCATAATAGCCGCGATGCACTTTGCAAAAGCCACCCGATCCAATTACCTCCTTAATATCCAGTTCCGTATAATCAATCTCATGTGGCAGCTCCAATGGATCCGCATCCGTAACAAAGTTACGCGGAAAAACACCCACCTACAAAAAAAAAAAAAAAAAAAAAAAAAATTGAAAGAGAAATAGAAATGGAAATCAAATGTTAACTGAATGACTAATGTTTTGTGTGTGTTTACCAATCGGATCACACTGATAACCCCTAATGAACAAACCTTATCACCGATCTTGCCCGTCCACCAGCCGACATCGCCAGAGACTTCGCTGTCCGTGGACAGCACGACGACAATTTGTCCGCGTCGAAGCGTCAGCTCATCTTCGCCCTGTGCATCATAGTCATACAATGCCGTCCACAGGCTAGCATCGGCGGCCAGTGTGGCATTCTCAACTCCACCGCCACCATTCGTTGCCTCATTTGTGCCGGTGTTGCTGTTCCGACTGCTGCTGTTGCTGTTGGTGTTCGCGTTGGTGTTGCTATCAACGTGCTGCTCCTCGCTAATTGGGAGCATGGCCAGTGAGTGGTGCTCCTCTACTCACTCGACTCCTTTGTTGCTGCTGATGCTGCTGCTAAACGATTTGCCGTCGCCTGATCTCGGCCAGCATTAAAAGCTTAAGCATGGGACGAGCCCCTGTGTTTAGCTGCAAATACCTAATCAAAATTCAAAACAAATAATGAAAAAGTGTTAATATTTATAATCATAATAATAATAAGAGAGCAGCTTTAAGAAACCACCCTCCCCACCACACCCTCTCCTTATTATTATTATCGCTTACCCAAGTTTCGAATTCACTCCTTCAGCTGCTGCTTCTGCTGCTCCTCTGCTCCAGTCCCGCCCGCCCCTCTTAGACGAATAGAAAACAATAATCAGAGACAAGACACACACACACACTTGCACTACTAAACTAAAAAAAAAAAAATGAAAATAATAATACGAAGAAGAAGCAGAAGTGGCAATGGCGCACAGATTGTTCCGTTTTTCGTGAGCTGAAATCAGCTCTGTGTTGTTTGTATATTGTTTGCGCAACTTCGTTTTAGCTCTGGACGCATTTCTTTTAAATCTATTTCGTGTTTTCTTTTTGTTTTCGTTTTCCCTTTTTTTTTTGCGTTGCTCTTTGCTTGTGTGTGTGTGAGTGTATGGAGATAGTCTCTTTGGGTCTTCTGTTCTTTGCTGCTGCTGCTCCCGTTTTATATTTGTTGCTTTTCTCTTTATTTAGTTTTGCTGAAGTTCTCAATTGCAATTGCTTAGCTTCTTGCGCTAGCAATGTATTGATTTCGGGTTTCGAATATGTTTCGAAAACATAAAAAATAACTTATGTTGAGAAAAACTTGCTGATAGAAATATATCGACGGGCGATAGACGGCCGACACACGACTGAAAAAATAGTGGTCGGCTTACAATGTCAAGTGTGTAAAGTTACTGAAAAAATACTGCATGCGATTGCCACTTAACAGGCCTGTTGGCTCATTTTTGCGTTATAATTGCTCACTGTTATCATACAAATAGATTAAAGCTGAATTATCGCATATTCGTGCAATGATATCATCTGATTTATATTTATATAGTTATAGTTTCATGATCAGTATTAAATATTAAGTTGACCTTATTTATTATTAAGATTGCAAATTTATTTTGCTTACTAATTTAATGAACAACGATTCTATGCGATAGCTATAACATACAAGTGAATACTGTGAGTTAAATTTAAAAGTAACAGCTCTGTAAATTTGATTTTCCAGTGTCTGGCAACCCGGGCCAACACTAAACAACTGTCTGGCAACAACGTTGTCGACTATTTGTCGAATGCCGGACGATTTCAATGATAATGCGGCAAATGTGAATTGTATTTCAAAATACAATTGCATAGACAAGTTGTATAAGTACTATATATGTTATGTAGAGCAGCAAAGAGGTACGTGGTCAGAGTCAATGCAGTGTTGTGCATACGTTAACATCGCACGCGCGTTCTCTCGCTCTCTATTTCTCGCTCTCTTTAATCGTTGTTGTAGACTTGCCACTGATTCGGCTGGTCCAGCAGCGTTGGTAGCAATAGCATTAGCATCCTAAGGCTGGCTTCTGCTGCTGCTCCGCTGCTGTCGCCGTTAGCAGAGCATATACAGCACGCAGAAAGCAGCAAAGCAGAAACAGAAACGGAGCCAGTGCCAATGCACGGGCCATGGCGCAACGGCTGCTGTTCTCGCACACACACGCACACACCGAATATATATTTTCGCAACGTTCATCGCTCAGTTGAGTTGAGTTCAGTTCATTTCAGTTACGCGCAAGATTTCAACATAAACTGTAGCATAGTTTGCGGCCACGGACAGAGGTAAAGGCGGGCGTGCGCAGCACAAAAATTGCACGGCAAGAAATCACCAAATCGGAAACAGAAACATTAAACACCAACGGAAACGGAAATTTCTTGTCTCAGTTGGCACACAGCTATTTAAATAATTCTCAGCCGATAAATACATATTTTTACTTCGAATTTTTAATATTCTTATATATTTTGTTGTATTTTTGTACATAAATCTGCTGCAAATTTGGTTGCAACCGTTTTAAGTTCCCTCACCCGCTGCATCGTCATTCGATAGAAAAAAACTCAAAAAAATAAATTCGCAAAAAAAAATTTGATAAAATTTGCAACGTTTTTTTTTTTTTTTTGTGTGTTTAACGCGTTGCCGTCTCAGCCGCCGTTGCCGTCGCCGTCGTCACTCGATTTTTTTTTGCTCGCTGCGTGCGCGTGTTTGTGACTGTGTGTGTGTGTGTGCGTTTGCGTGTGTGTGTATGGGTTTCCGTGTATATGTAGGCGAGAGTGTGTTACATTTTTTTTTGTTGCTCCATGGAACTCTCCTTAATCCTCGTATGCCAAATAAAAGCCAAATGCCTTTGAAAATGTGAGGCGAACAAGCTGAAAAATCGCCACAAATAAAACAAAACCAAAAAAGAAAAATTTAGTAAAAAAAAAATAATAAATAAAAAGAATGAAATAGAATAAAGAGTAAGAAATAAATCAAACGCACAACTCTTAAAGAGAATACGACTAGCGCTTAAGGCTCCATCCTCCTTAGACTTAGTAGAAGAAGATGAAGATGAAGATGATGGTGATGATGATGCTGACGATGATGACGATGATGATGACGATGAAGCAGAAGCCAAACACCAAAACGATACGCACAAAACTAACGCAAAGCAATGCAACGTAACGTAAAGTAAAAATTCTAAAAACAAGAACAACAAAAACAAAAACAAAAAAGGTACTTTGCTGCACAGAAAAGAAGAAAAAAATATATGTATATGTATTGATAAGTGTAACTGGTATGTTTATGTGTAGCCTTTAATTCTTTTCTATTATTACTTATAGCTATTTCTGCAAGTGCACGTGACGATCTTGCAAAAATCCAAAATCGAAAGTAGCAGTACATTTATGCATGTATGCATGTATGTCTGTATGTGTGTGTGTGTGTGTGTGTGTGTGTATGTGTGCACATAAATTCACACACAAAGCTGTTGCCTGGCCTATAAAATGGCTGCCTTAACAGCACCGATGCGTCGACGTCGACGCTGGCAGCGTGGTAAGCAGCGCGCAAGAAGTTGAGGTTATGTCTGCGCCGCAAAACGTGCTTTGGCTGCCCGCTGCCCTTGGCATAAAATTGTCGCTGCTGCTGAGGATGATGCTGCTGCTGCTGCTGCTGCTGCTGCTGCTGCTTGTCCCTCTTTAGTTGCTTGTGTATGCTTTGTGTGCTTGAGTCTGTGTGTGTGTCTGTGTGTGTGTGTGTGTGTGTTTGTGTGTGTTGTCATGGGGGAAAAAGCATTGAGTGTGGAACTTGGTGCTAGCTCATCCACAAAATCTTGAATACTCCTCACTCTGGCGGTACTAACGCCAAATATAATTATTACAAATGGGTTGAAGTTGACTTCCACAATAACAAGATGCTATCTAGGTTTTGAACTCATTGTTGCAAGCCACTAAATGTAGCAGATCCATCCATCAAGTCAGCGACTTTAAATGGCCTTTAAATCTAGGCCAATAGACAATAAAGCACTCGGTCTGGATTCGTTTTGGGGCATATTAAGTCTAATTTAGTACAGGCTTTTTTGTCATCTATATCAAATAATGAGTGTTTTATTTCCTTTCTGTTTTTTCTTGTTGTGTATTCGATTAATTCATATTTATCCACTTAATGGATGCTTGGTAACGAGTTTTGGGCGTGGCTCACGTTTTTTTGTTGCCTTTTCCATATCATATTTCATATTTTGTTTTAGGCAAGCAAAAATTTTTAAGAACTTTTCAGTGAAGTTTGTTTTGTTTTGTTGTCAATTCAAACATGTAAAACCCTATTAATTGCTTAGTTCAAAATAAAAATCATAAACAATCCTTGAAAATTGAGCAGCTAATTATAAGATCAAATCAGCTGTTTTTGTTTGAAAAGCTGAAGATTGGGCTACTAACTAAACAGTTTGAACGTTCAAGCGTCGGGTTAATGTATGCAAAAGAAAAACGAGGTTCAAGAACCATACCCAATTGTGCAAAATTGCTTCGAACCGTGAACCGAACCGACAACAATTTTTGTAGCGTTACAAAACCGATAGATGTTATAGTGCTCGCTTATTGCTTAGGTCTGTCTATCCATATGGCTGTGAGTATGTGTGTGTGTTGGCTTGGCTGACATGTCCTTGTTGCCAATTTTGACCTAGCCCTACTTGTGGACATTGGGCTTTGTCCTTTGTTGAGAGCCAACTGCTTGCGCCTCAATGGCTGCGCAGTAGCAGCATTCGCTTTCCTTTTTCCTTTTCCACTTCTTTTGATTTGTGGCAGCTTCAAGGAAGCGGCCCTTTTTTTATTATTTCTTTGCATGTGTTGTTGTTGTTTTTTTATTATACATTTTTATTGCTTCCTTTGCACATTTCACGAACGTTTTAGGCTTTTATTTCATGTGCAACGCCGTGTTGCATACAACATGCCCTGCAGGCTGACAGCCACTTAAGACAAGCGGACAAGCGCAACTCTTGACAGTCGAGACAACTATGGGTCCCACTTATGGGGCAGGTAGACAGACAGCCATAGATTTCGATTGCACAGCGATCTTATCAACTAGTTCACTGCGAGTAAAATCGAATGCATTCCCAAAAAAAAAAAAACAAAATCGCTCATCTTTGAGTGGAATGTCCTAAGCGAAGAATTTCTTTGACCATCTTAAATCGAGAATGACTACTTATAAATAAATAGTAAGCTGACAGCAAACTTGACACCAGGTTTTTCATTGTAGTATCTATATTAACTTAACCCAAACATTTATTTTGCTTTCTCTTCTGATATATTTTTTACTTAAATTAACTATAAAAAATTGCATGAAATTCATAGAAATTTATTCTATTCTTTTCTTCCTATTTCAGTTGAAACTTATTTTCATATTAAGCCAAACATTATTCTCTGAAATTAATTCATAATACAGTTTCCATAATATTCAAAGCATAACTTTTTCGCAAAAACCAAACAAAAAAATCAAAAAATGAATTGATAATTAATGGGTGTTTATCAGGAGTTCCAAAAATTACAGACTATATTTCTATCTCCCAGAAAAAGTCATTTTTGATCAATTTTAAATTACAGCTAATGTTCACTTAGATATAAAATGATCATATTGCCAAAGGGGAAGCAAATCAATCAAGGTTAGAGGGTGAAGATGTTGTGGAGAAGACATACTTTTTGCCCACGGACTCTGTTTATATCTACAATATTGTATAGCTCCCAATCGGAAAATCGCTCGATTTTTATTGCCTTCTAGAGTGTATCACAATTTTGTTGAAACGTGTGTAAAATTACTGATCAGACTTCGACTACATGCTCTCAGACATATTTGCCACTGCAATAATATATATATATATACATATATATATTATATCATATAATATAGGCATCAGTGGCTTGACTCCGCTCTACAATTTTTGCTGATTTAAATTATTCATGATTTCGATTTGCAAATGTTTTTAGACGAGTTATTAACTAGTTTACATTGATTCAGGGTGTCAAACCGGAATCGGAACTGCATGTTTGAATGATTGCAGGATAAATTAAATATTATTTGCCCCAAAAGGATCGTATTGAAACCGAAAAACATCGTAGGCGAACAATACTAACTAGATTCTCTAAATAAATTCGATTCGATTTGTTTCTTTAACGTGTAATTTTTTTCTGCAACATTTTGTGCTTATGCTTGTATAAAATAAGTAAATTAACAATAAGATATGAACGAGACTCAACATTTGCTTCTCAATTCCAGATCGCGCCCAGCCAAGGAGCCGCTACTATATATATCTATATATATATAGTATAAAGAAAGACTTAAAAACAAAAAAAAAACAAAAATTAACAAAAAAAGTTGTTGTGAATCGATTGAATGATGTGTAAAATGTTACAATTGGAACACTTAACGAGTTGATTGTGCAAGGATTCAAAAAGGACGCCGACGCCGGGGTGGTTGGGGGGAGGCGCAATGCAAGCGAACAGCAACCGATCAACGATAAGCGCACAATCCTCGGGCACACCGTCGGCCTCAACGATATCCTCGTCACAGGGCAAG